AGGGCTGGCAATATGAGCTAATGGTGGTTAATATAGCGCATAGCGCCATATTATAGCGCGATATCTCTCCATAACGCATAGCGTGTGCTATGTATAGGCCAGTATAGGCGTTATAGCGCTATGACGCTTTGGCGCTATTCATTATCGAGTGGCAATTAGTTCTAGCAGCAGCGCTGTTGGGAGTAGACGTGTGATGCAGATTTAATCTAGCAGCACGCTATTCATAGCGCGCGAACTAATTTAGTGTTAGACGTTGTTTAGTTAGTGTATATTCATAAGTGATCAAAGGACACAGTTCTCTGCTACAAAAGTAGCCTAACTAGTGTTTTTAAATGTAAATAAAATACAAAGTGTATATAATAGTGTTTGTAAATACTTTTAAATACACCTTTATTGATTTATAATTTATATTAAGGTTAAAATAACGTTTACATCAATTATAATAAAAATTATTAATTTTATTTTGTTTTAAAAAGTACATGCCTTAAAAATATTTTTAGGATTATAGAAAGTCGTAAGCCTGGAAAGTATGAAAGAGCGTTCATTGATTTCTCTAATATGAGCGCGAGGCTGGCCACACACTTGTGCAAACGCTGTCCTAGTCGAGCACTCGTTACGGAAGCATGTCACGTGTCATTTAAAATCATAAATAGTGTATCATCATCATTCAGCCATATTATCACATGAGTAAATAATATACAGAGAAACAGCTCTCTCGACCCTCGATCTTGACGACGACAATGTTATTTCTTTTTGTGATATTAATATAATTAGCTATAATAAATATGCATAACTCGCACGCTGCAACATCCATTGTGTTGTAAACGCGGGCGAGCGACCTAGTGTGGACTGTGGAGCGTCGCGATTAATTGCGCGAGTAGAGCAGTGTGTGGACAGACAGGGCAGAATCGCGACATTGCGATGAGCAGCGCGATGAACATAGTGTGGCCAAGCCATAAGGTATAAGTATCGATATAATATATGTACTACGCACTAGATTTCGCATTCCGAACACTCACTATGTTCAACTGAACTGTACCTACTGCAATCCGTACACCTGTTATTGTGGCTTCCATAATAATAATTTTATGTTAAATTAGCACATATACAAAATATACGAAAATTAAAAAAGTACTCGATTAACAATATAATCTAAATGAACAATTATTTATTATGACTAAATAAGTGATTTTCGCGCGTTTATATCAACTGCGCATGCGCGACACTACTGTTTCCCGCGCATGCGCGGATACAGAGTAGTTCACATTTTTTGTTTGGAATAGCTTATCTAGTACGTAGTACATATAACTCAACTGGTATAATTGGGGATACATATTATGGTCAGCAGTGGATATTTGTTAGGCTGTAACGGTAAGAAATAATTAAATTACATTAGAATTTAATTTGTAACTTTACAACTAGCGTAATTACGTGCTGCTTGATTCCACTGTGTTACTTTGTCACAAATTAAATACAATACCAAAATCAAAACTTTTTATAGAATAAGAGTGACAAACGAGCACACAGCAATGGTAAGTGGATGCTGTGGGCTATAGAGATCTACATATTATATCCTCGATTAATAATCTAAATGTAAGGGAGTCCTGAGAACTAAGATGGAATGCCTCGTTTCCAGTAAAATACGTCATACGAATAAACTGCTATTTTACGCTGGTTTTCTGTGGGAGAGTGGTCCCACCCATTCGTGCAGCAACATAGATGGCTGCATGTGTCTGCCCTACCACGTATAAAATGTGAGATAAATGGAATGAAATAAAACACCAATGTTTTACAATTCGATTTTATTAAACACTTTAAAACTTAAGTCTGATTCAAGCAAATGTGGTCGATTCCCAGCAGTTTTCAGATATTAGTACGATCACTAATGTGGCAGTTGAAAAATTTAAAAAATTGGATTATTAAAGTCTATGTGTATCTTCGTTATAATATAATAAGTTACCTTATGGGTATATCATTTCATAGAGGCGATAAAAGGGAACTAAAATAGAATATGGGCGGCTGCATCTTCCTGGTAAGAGCTCAAAATTACAAAATACTGCGGTTGACAGATGACAGCTCGCCTGCCGAGAGTGATGACTACGGCAGATATCTCTTATGAGACAATCTATGGGATATGCCTATGTTCAGCGGTGGATTCTGGATATGTGTAATAAATGAATGAATGAAAAAATAAATGTTAACATTTACACATAACAATATTAAATAATTGCCAAATGTATTATATAATTGCCAAGCGTGGCAACAATTTTATTGAATAAGTATAATTTTAATGATTTAGGCTCGCCACATACTACATACGAAGCGAACGTTTCGGCCACACACTTACGGGATCCTGTTTTGCCTGCAAAATTCCGTACGGAAAACTCCCGTAGGTGTGTTTGATTTTATATGGACTTGTTGCGTTCGGAATTCCGAATCGGAATTCCAAAACGGAATCCCGAAACGGAATTCCATATGCATGTGGCGGGCTTCACCATAGTTCAATAAAATGTTAAAATGGATCATAATTTTCTAAATGGTGGAGCTTCTTTTAGTCTGGGAGTCCATCTTGTTTGGTCCATCCTCTTACTACAAAGTGAATCCAGGGTTTCTGACGCCAAATAGCTGTACCTACACCCATTGCTGTGTTACGGTTTTAGGCGTAAAGGAGTCAGTTATAGACTGTGAGTCATTTTATCTGAGCTGTCTAGAGTAACAACCGATCTGCTGCCATGTTTGCTTGACGTCGATTGCAGGTGAACTAGAAGCTCTTTTAACATATCATTATCTTTGTAACAAAGATATTTCTTCGGAAGCTTTCTTTCAAATGCACACTTGCGTATCAGTGTACATCTTAAAATATAACTACATAGGTAGTTTATAACGTTTTGCCTAAAGTGGGTGCATAGGGATATTTTTTTAATTCATAGTTTCACCTATCGTCAAATGCAATGAAAACTTTTACTTTTAAACAATTATGTCAGATGTGTGGCACTATAAGATAAGGAACGCATTAAAACTTAATAACCCCATCTTAGAATTTTGCTTTGCCCTAATGAAACGTATCAGTCTTAAATCTTACAAAATGGATTATAATTATTACTGAAAGGTCATACATGGTGGAAATAAAATAGAAGTATTGTTTTTGAAGCACAATCTACAAAAGTAGCACGACATAATATTATAATTACTGTGTACAAAAAAAAAAGAGAATTGATGAACGTAGGGAATTGTTAGAGGTAGGTTTTTCACAAATTTTGTAAATTAACCAAGCATGCTTTAATTGCCTTACGTAATATAATTTTACAATACTTTTTATTTAAATTATGCTTCTCGGGTTTTCGATTATTTTCTAGAAACCAAACAATTTAAGTATATTAAAAAACTCCTTAGTAATTAACATCATGAAACCGCCCCTAATATTAAATAATCGTAAAAAATCGCTAATCGTTATTTAGTTCGACAAATTAGAATAATTATGAATATTATTCTAAGTTCGAAAGTTATTACTTAAAAATAGCCAATCCTCAATAGTACTGTCTGTAAGACACACACACACACGCACACACAACTTACGAGTATGTAAGCTTTACTTCGGTCACCCGATCCATCGTGATACAAGCAATTTCGTCATGAAATAGATGCAACGAATCTCGATTAGGCGAATAGTAAAAGAATAAACAAAATCTATCGTTAACTTAATAATTGGAATCCTATACATTAACCACTCACGTCCCGACAGTGTATTGAACCAATTAGTCAGACCTATGGTCAAGCCAAAGAGATTTTTTTTTAAAATTGATTGCCAGAGTAACGGCGATTTTTCACGACATATCAAACAAGTAGCTGCAATGTTTTTGTTTGACGCAACAAAATAATCCGTATCCCACTCATCTTGAAACAATCTATTTTCACTAGATATTTTTCTTTTAATACTGTTGTTTGTAACAGTACTCGGTACATATTAATTATTCGTTATCTTAGAAGACCTTGTACGGGGTTGTATAAAAAATCGAGTAAAAATATATAGGCCAAGAACCTTCCTACTTAAGCAAGTTTTCCTTCAAACTAAAGCAAATGCAACGCCGGATGCGGAACGCGAATTAGTATAAGAGAATAATACAATTTGTTCGCCCGCTCGCTCGCTTTGCCATTCAAGAGTTAATGAAGTGCTTACGTATTTCATTTTAATTTAAAAAAATAATTTTGCAAAAAAAAATATTAACTACATATTCCTCTTTAAGTCAATAGCGGCGCGCGTGAATTTCACCTCAAATCATGAGCTTTACGAAAGATAAAACACATCCAAAGAAGCTTTTCAATCGACGCAAGCGATTCGCTTTTCGGGGTTCGCTTCAGTTTGAACGAACCTTTATTTTTTGTAACGTTTTTTCTCATTATTATTGAAAGCTACGTAAGACCCTATCTACATTGTATATGAAACGCGTGAATAAAATACCCTTTAAGTAGACTTTTCACAACCTCATATAGTCTCTTGAAAAGCGAATTTTGAGCCATCGCTTTTAAGTTTAATGTTTTCACATTTGATTAAGACAAGATTTCGATTGTTTTAAGACAAGATAATCTAAGAAACTAACATTAAATTCCAATTATCTAGACCCTACATGTACAGTACAGTATGATTTTTTTGTACTGTTATCATCTAAAATGTATTTGTTATTGTTGCAATTAACAAAATTCGTATCAGTAATTACTAAAATAAAGCTTTAATAACTCGAACTCGCAAAACGTATAAAATATAGAACTACTCGACCATTACGTATAATGTACTTCAAGCGAATTATTGGTAACAATTATAGTAAATTTTATTACGAAAGTCAATAAATTTTTCAATTTTAGCCACTGAAAAAGAATTTTCGGTGAAAAAAAAAAACTTAAAAATTGCACTTTATCCCATCGCTCAAATTCAAAAAAAGTGTAAAACTGTATGTAACATTAGACCATCGTTTAAATATGCGATAATAATAATACAAGAATTATTAAAATTGGATTCTATAATGATGTTGTGGCCGCTTGTTATCCTTTGCGGATTCGGCAGAGCGCCGCCTGGCTGCCCCGTAAACTGCAAGTTTTGAAGGCGAGGGTAAACTGGAGTCCCGGGGGCGAACTAAAGACTCCCGGGACTCTGCCGCAGGGAGAGAAGCGGATGTCGGGACTGAAGGTAACTTGGAACTGCGAACTGTGTCGTATGGCAGTGGTGAGCTGCGAGATGCACTTGACGCTATTGAACCTGATCCATCGGAGTCCTGGAATAAAATTCAAGTTAACTATTTAATACAATCTTAAAGAATTTATTACCTCTGTTTACTTAAGGTCTAAGGGTTAATTTTGCATTTCCCCGTGTAGCGGCGGCTTAAGAGAGTCCACTGTCCTAATTCAGAAGGAAATTAAACAGGGAACAGCAGTAGCATATTTCTAATAACAAACAACTCAAAATAATAAAAAATCTGCGGCTGCCAATTCGCCTGCTAAGCGTGCCAAATATGGCAAATATTCGGCATATAAGGCAATCTCCGGACGTGGACTATGTCCAAGAATGGTCTTTTGCTAGAATGTAATGTTGTAATGATGATTATGATTACGATAATTATTTCTTATATTTACGCGAACACTACAAATTTAAATAAAACTAGTTTTTACGGATTTCATCGCATATATTAACTTATTTTATATTCCCGACGTTTCCAGCACGTTATGAATTTGGAATCCTGATAACACCTTGAGAACACCACAGAATCAATAATAGTGGCCACACTGTGTATAGAAAAAGTCCCATACAGATAGATATTTAAACGGTGATTCTCACCACCATCCTTCACAGTTAGCTACCGTGAGTAAATCTTTGTTTCAGAGAGCACGAGGGATCTGTGACAGTAAACACCTGGCCACCGAGCTCCAACAAGTCAAGCAAGTTTTGCGTGACAACAAGCTTCGGGTCCCGCGCCTATGTCACAGTGAACGTGTGAAGCAGGCCACAGTCGAGCAAGTGCCCGCCGTACTGTCAAATGTCAGAGGTGTCACTGACAAGATTGCCTATAACTTGAAGCGTGCTTGCATTAAAATATACTTCAAGTCGCCGAAAAAGATTAGTCAGTTTTTACCATCAGTCAAGTGTAATGTACTTCTGCAAGATGCAGGAGTGTACAAGCTTGATTGTGAATGTCGTCTCTCGTACATAGGACAAACAAAAAGATCAATAAAAACCCGTGTTAAAAAATATATAGCTGATGAGAAGAATCGACGCTTCGGGAAGTCTGCAGTCTGTAAACACGTATACGATAACTAACCCCCCCCCTTCATTAAATAAGATTTGATAGACCACAAATCTTCGACAAAGAACACGAATCCTTCCAAGGATGATTCGCAAGGCTATTGAAATCAAAAGCTGTTAAGAAGATACACGAAATATTAAAAAGAAATAGGTATCTTAGCAACGTTACTTGTTGATTGTCACGTTATTGTAAAACTATAAAATAAAACTTCTATTATTTTTTTCTTATATTGTTTATTTAAAACTAATGTATATGTTTTAAATCTTAACATGGTAGCAGAGCGAAAAAAAATCAATTAAACTTTGTGAATACAAAAGTTCTAAATCTAGAATATACATTTGGTTGAAACGAATATATATATATACATATATATAAAGTATTCTGAACCTTATTTGAAACTTTTGAAGATGGATAAATCAATAGTTGAAGCGTCAAAGATACAGGTAGGATATCTAGATTCTAAGAACTGGAAGACGTGGAAGTTTAAAATTCTCATCGTGCTTAGAGCTATACCCGGAGCAATGGATATCATTGAAGGTAAACGATATAAGCCCATGCTATCGGATACAGCTACAGCTGAAGAGAATCAGAAATATGAGAATGAATTATTAAAGAGTTTGTGAATGTAGATAGTACAATCCTAATAATATTTACTACGAACATGTCTGAAGAGACACTGCAGCAAGTCATGCGTTTCACTTCTTCGAAAGAGATGTGGGATGAATTGAACCATCTTTACAATGGGGAAACAGAAGATAAAAGTTACGAACTTTGTCTTGATTTCTTTAAATATCAAAAGAAAAGCAATCACAATATGGCTACCCATATATCGACTTTAAAGAATATTTGGCACGAATTAAATAAAAATTTAGAGTCAGCAGAACATCTTCCTGATATTTTACTGATTTGTAAAATTCTTGACACATTGCCAGTTCAATATTTTGGATTCAAAAGCAGTTGGCTCTTAATGGCAAAAAAGGATAGGACAATTGAAAATTTAACTTGCCAGCTATGTGCCCATGAGAAAGCTTTGTCTGTCAGAGCAGATGTTGAGAATTGTGCTGAGGCACTATACGCAAAACCAGAAAGAAAAATTAGCGGAAAAGATAAGAATTGGAAGAAATTTTTCAAATGTGATTACTGTGGGGAACAAGGACATAGAGTAATGAAATGCAAGAAGTGGATCAGTGAAGGAAGGCCACCTAAACAATTAAGCGTGAATATAAATCAAACTAACCAAACGGTTTTATTGATGGACAATTTAGTAGATACGACAAATTGGTATGTGGATAATGGCGCTACCAGTCACATAACCAATAGAGGGGATTTTTTCGAACATTTTGAATATTTTAAAACTTCCCACACCGTCACAGGGGCTAATGGGCAAAGTATCGAGGCTTTTGGAATTGGTACTGTCCGTGCTGAAGCTTACGTTAAAGGTGGAGTAGAAAATATTTTGCTAAAGGATGTTTGGTATGTACCTTTGATTACAAGAAATCTATTTTCTGTGCTTGCTGCACAAGATCGCTCACCGAATTGCTTGCTGCTATGTGCTAACTGGAAATAGGCAAAGACATGGAGGGTTATTTAAACTGAATTTAAAGTGCGCTACGCCTACGCTACATATTAATCAGATAACAAGTTCCAATTTACTACAAGTTTACCATGAGAGGATGGCGCATCAAAATTAGAGACATGTGAGACAGTTGATAGATAAAGAGCTCGGCATTAAAGTAGCTCTAGACAAAGAACTTTGTGAAGGATGCATAAATGGTAAAGCCCACCGCAAAAGTTTTGGAACGAGACCAAGAGCATCAAAGGCAGGTGAAATTTTTCATACCGATGTTTGCGGGCCTTTCCCGTATTCATTTCAGAAATACAGATATTTTGTTTTATTTAAAGACGATTTCACCAGTAATCGCTTTATCTATTTTCTGAAAGAGAAGTCAGAAGTAGCTTCAATGCTTAATAATATGGTAGCAGAAATAATGGCGTCTGGGCATAAAATAAGAGAAATCATTTCTGATAATGGGGGAGAATTTGATAACCAGAAGGTCCGGGACATTTTACGCATTAATGGTATTATTCAAAGATTAACTATGCCATATACTCCCGAACAAAATGGAGCATGCGAAAGGGATAAGTGGGCAGAACAATTGTAGAGGCTGCACGTTCGATGATGTATGCTCATGAAGAAATACCAAAAGGACTATGGGCTGATATCGTAAATACCACTGTTTACATTTTAAATCGAACAGGGCCAACGAAGATAGCAGGAAAGTGATCCTGAATGAATTGTGGCATGGCGAAAAACCAGCTATTAAACATTTGAGAATTATAGGTTGTCAGTGCTATGTCCATATTCCTAAACAAAAGAGAATGAAACTTGACAAGAAAGTTCAAAAAGGAATACTGTTAGGTTATGAAGGAGATAATGGTTATTGAATTTGGAATAAAACAGATCATAAACTTATTCGCTCCAGGGATATTACTTTTCAAGAAATACCTTTGATAGATAAATCAAATAACCTTAAAACTGATGACGTAGAAACTATAGCAAAATGTAATCAGTTTGAGTTTCCGGATTTTTCTGCTTTATCTACTGTCCCAAATGATAATGAAATACTTCAAGAAGTCATTTCAAATGACGAGATTGAGGGATCTCAAGAAAGGGTTACTGCAATGGAAGAAAAGGGTGATATAAATGAACAGGAACCTTGCATACAAGAAGAAAATGAGCACAACATAGATGAATTGTTAGAAAATGAAATTCAAAATGAATCTCAAATGACACTTCGAAATCGAGCAAATCTTAAACGGCCTATTCGTTTTCAGGACTATGCCTATATGTCTTTGAATGATGAAATGATAGACCCAAAACGTATAAGCGAGCTTTTTAAGTGGCGTGAGGCTATGGATAGCGAAATCAATTCCTTAATGGAAAATGAAACCTGGGAAATGGTAACATTACCTGAAGGTCGAAAAGCAATACCTTGTAAATATGGGTTATAATAAGTTAAAAACCAACTCCGAAGGTGAAATAGATCGCTACAAAGCCAGGTTAGTCGTTATAGGTTATTTACAAAAAGAGGGCGTTGATTTCTACGAAACGTTTAGCCCTGATCTAAAGGAAGCACTATTAGAGCTGTGCCAAGCGTCGCATCAAAAGAAAATTGGATATTGCCCAATTTGATGTTTCAACCGCATTCCTATACGGAACACTTACGAAGATATTTATATGAAGCCTCCCGAAGGTTATTACAGTAAGTCCAACATGGTCTGTAAATTAAAAAAGAGTCTTTATGGCTTAAAACAGGCGCCACGCTATTGTTGGTTATAAACAAAGTGAATCTGACCCTTGTTTGTTCGTAAGGAAGCGGGGAAGTATTAAAACTGTCATAGCTCTCTATGTCGATGATGGATTAGTAGCAGCAACAAATTTAAATGAAATAGACAATTTTATGGGTGAGATGAACAAAAATTTCAAAATCACGTTCAAAACTGCATCGTATTTTCTCGGAATTGAGATCGATAGAAAAGTAGATGGATCTATAAAAATTGATCAAAAGGGATTTACGAAAAGGATACTTGAACGGTTTGGTATGCAGAATTGTAAACCAGCTGCTACACCGATAACGAAGGATATTGACAATGACAAAAATTTTAACAATGAAACTAATCCAAAAGTATCATTCCCTTATCGTCAAGCCGTGGGTTCCTTATCTTATCTGATGACTGGAACTCGACCAAACGCATTTGCGGTAGGATTTGTGTCACGAAATCTGGATAATCCTACGGCAGAAAACGTGGCTAAGGTGAAACGCATAATGCGGTATTTAAAAGGCATAACTGAGTATGGTATAATTTACAAAAGTTCGAGTAATTGCAATTATTTAAAAGTGCTATAGTGATGCAGATCATGGAGGTGATCATAGCACTGGACGGTCGACATCAGGTATTCTGAGCATTTACTCTAGTGGTGCAATAGCATGTCAAAGTAAGCGGCAATCAAGTCTAGCTATATCATCTACAGAAGCTGAACTAGTTGCTGCTAGTGAAGCAGCAAGAGAAATCATTTGGATGGATAAAATATTAAGATTTTTAGTTGATAGTTGTGAAAGTATTCCCAGACTACATCTTGACAATGAATCGGCTATAAAGCTAGCCCATGATCCACCATTTGAAATGCATCATCGAACCAAACATATTCGTATACGACACTTCTTTTATAAGAGAATGTGTTGAGCAAAGAAATTTGGAGGTGCTGAAAACATGTGCTAAAGGCCAGCTTGCTGATATATTAACAAAACCTTTATATAAGCCACGAGTTTTGGAATTAACTATAAAAATGGGCATGAAGTTCTAAAAGGAAGGCGAATGTTAAGAAGATACACGAAATATTAAAAAGAAATAGGTATCTTAGCAACGTTACTTGTTGATTGTCACGTTATTGTAAAACTATAAAATAAAACTTCTATAATTTTTTCTTATATTGTTTATTTAAAACTAATGTTTATGTTTTAAATCTTAACAAAAGCATCCTAATTTCAATAGAGAAGATGGCTGTGTGCTACCATATGCTTAGGATCCTATAATTAATAATATTAAATCCCAACTCAAGCAAACAACTGTAAGACTTCAAGATACTATAAATTCATACTGCATTGATTGAAACAAAAATTAATAATTTTAATTAGGAGGTTGTCGTGACTATATGACATTGTAACTACGAGGGCGGCACTGAAAATATCGGGAATTGAGGAAGTGACACAATATTACTATTTAAAAATGCATTTTTTTCCTTTCCGAAGTATTATCCGCGAAATTTGACACATGTTTCTATACGATGAAACCAATCATTTAAGCAACCATTCCATTCGGAAGTTGGGGTCTCCAAAATTGCCGTTTTGTAGGCGTCCACAGCTTCTTCAGGTGATGAAAATCTCTGTCCACGCAATTTATTCTTTATTTTATGGAAAGTATAGAAATCATTAGGGCTTAGGTCGGGGCTGTACGGTGGATGGTTTAATAATTCTATGTTTTCTTGCACTAAAAACTCTTTTGTTCTGTGTGCGGTGTGAGAAGTCGCATTGTCGTGATGGAGGATGATGCGGCGATTGCAGTTCTCTTTACGGAGTTCTGAAACGACCTGTGGCAAACAAATGCTAGCATAACATTCTGAATTAACCGTTCTTTGTCCCTCAAGAGGAATAGTCGTAACATGTCCGGTTTTGGAGACAAACGTGGCCACCATTTTTTTTGCAACACTCCGTGAACGAACATTTTTTGTTGGCTTTAACTCATTTTCGAACACCCAAACTCGTGACTGATTTTTTGTTTCGGGTTCGTACGCGTATATCCAGGATTCGTCACCTGATACGATGTTGTATACAGCATTTGAGGATCCTGCGTGGAATGAGATGAGTTTTTTTGGGTGGAAACAACTTTTTTACACTTAATTGTTCATGCAAGATTATTTGTATTTGACTCATGCCAATGTCTAAAGTTGCCTGAATTTTGCGGTATGTCACATGTCGATCTTCTTCAATCAGCTTACGCACAGCATCAACGTTTTCTTGGGTGACTGCAGTTTTTCGACGACCTTGACGGGGATCATCACTGAGCTTGACACGTCCACGTTGAAATTCAGCAAACCAGCGATAAATTGTGGTTTTGGATGGGGCTTCATCACCAAATGCAGAAATCATCCGGTCAACACACTGTTTTTGTGTTAAACCACTTCGAAAGTCATAATAAATCATCGCTCTTGAATTTTCTCGAGTCAATTCCATTTTTTCAACGACTAAACAAGTTTGACAAAACCTTGTGAAAAGACCGAGAATCTTTTTTTAAAATAAATAAATGGTATTCGATTTTTAAAACCAAGGAGTTTTCTATTAAAAAGATTTTAATATGACAGGAACAGTGGAAATATTCCATTCCCGATACTTTTAGTGCAGCCTACTATATGACATTGGGGATGTCGAACACGTCAGTCCCCCTTTGACTAATGGTGCTCGTAACGTCGGGAATATAAAATAAGTTAATAATATACGCGATATAATACGTAAAACCCAGTTTTATTTAAATATGATTTAGATCTCTGCGCACTAAAACAGCTCATTCTAATGTACCTACCTACGTATCAGATAAAAGAAACTTGCCAAAACTGTTAGATATATGCACTAGAACCATGGAATATATAATAGTACCTAGATCTACGTAGTACTATTATTTATTCTGTGCTAGAACCTATCAACGACCTTACCGTCGAGTTTGCAAATACTCTACCGCTATCGGATACTCGGCAGGTGAATTGTCGTATCGACCAATTCATTAGACGCAACTCATCTCAGACTATATGGACTTATACTTTTGCTTGTTTCAAAAAATATTGTACTTTACAATATGCCAATGTGTCACATTTAGACGTTATTGGGAGATTTTGACGACAGCGTTACCCAAGGGATATTAAGTCCCTTGAACGGACAAAATAACTTGAGGTTTATGTCAATATCGGAGCATTTATTTCGTCGTTCCACTGACAGTTCATATGCACAGACACTTAATCCACAAAATCGCATCATTTTTACGTATCAAAATCCATTTCAAACTATTATTCAAACAATAAAATAGGAGCAACGATCCGCCAGCGGTAAATTCCGCCGTAACTTCCAAATGGTTCATAAGGTTTCAATGCTTGTATATTACAATTTTGAACATGAGAGCGTGTAACGTACCTTTCTTGTATCTCTGTGGTCCAGGCGATCGTATCTGGTGTTCCTGGCGGAGGGCTTGCGGGGGGGTCGCGGCAGGGCGGAGGGCGGCGGCGGCAGGCTGGAGGAGCGCGTCTGCTGCGAGGCTCGGCCCTGCCGCTCCAGCAGCAGCGCCTCCTCGCCGCGCCCGCCGCCCCGCGCACCCACCGTCCCCAGCCCGGGGAAGCAGCAAAGTCCGCGCTGCCGAATTGTTTTCACTTTTTAAAAGTTTTAGTATTTATAAATAATATATATACGTATACTAGCTAGCCAGGCAGACGTTGTTCTGCCCTTTTTGACGACCCTTTGTCATGTCCCATTAAAAAAACAAAAAAAAAAATATGGGTCCACTCATGGGTAAAAAAACTATCCTATCTCTCAAGTTGGACCAATCTGCGCACGGTGTGCAAATTTGATTAAAATCGGTTAAGTAGTTTAGGAGTCCATCGCAGTTCAGCAGTCAACTTTTACACGCTGATGAAGAACTAACAAACGAGTTGAAAGAGAGTTGCAGTTTTTTCATAGAATAAAGATGACCAGCGAGCACGCAGTCCAACTGATAGTAAGTGGATGCTGTGGATACACATCTACCCTCAATTAAGAATCAAAATTCTCCTCGTTACCAAAAAAAGGGTCTCCGGTTCTATACACTGACCATACGAAACACAGCAGCATTAAACTGACATTTTACGCTAGTATTTTGTGAGAGCGTGGTCCTACAACTCATTCGTGCTGCAATCACAATATAGCTGCAGCATGACTCTACCACACATGCATTGCCACACTTAAACTACGAAACGCATGTGATTATTCTTCGTAACCCTTCAAACTGGAACATCTAGCATTGAAAAGGTTTATAAAGTTACCATGACGGACTTAAAAACAAGTTTTTTTTTTAATATTGAAAAAGTTTAATTTTCTTGGTTAGTGATCGCCAAACAAAAGCAAAACTTAACTAAATATGCAATATATACTTAATCGTTGTTTCTTACCTGGTTAGGAAAATTTTTTACGCCCAAAAACTATTTGATTTACTACTCCAATATGAGTTCTTCCAGCATCTTCAAACTTCGCCCGTGCTTTTGTGTTTTAAAAATAAATAAGACCAGTCAGGGACCAGTCAATTAAATACTATAACACCTTTTATTTTTATAATATAAGGGCCTCTTATTGGAGCAGTCAAGCTTAACACTTACTAAACACTTCAAAACAAAGCAAAACAGTTTTGTTAGTTAGTCGAATACAGACAAATTTATTGAGTTTCAATTCTTCAGAGGCGACCTCTAACGGTTTGACATAAACAAAAAAAATGGAACGCGTGTCCCGCGCGTGAACACTGTCTCTTTCTTCCTTTATTTTAACTCATACAATCTGAACGCTTAGTACATTTTTTATGTCTATAGTAAAAGGTGGATTGAATAAAATCTTAAATAAATAGTCCATAGAGAACTTTATTTTTCCAAAAATTACAAATCTGCACTGAATTAAATCAATACATATTATAAAATTAAAGGTATTGTGTTAGGATGAATAACTAGTAAAACCACAACAAACAAAACATCGTATTTATTTTTAAACATGCATTACAAAATATTTTTACGAAAATAACCGCTTTGTTTACACTAAATTATAATTATTATTAATATATCTTACATTTAAACAAAAAGCCTCGGAATGACGGTTTATTTTTAGAACTATGTATATATATCATAATTATGATTAATATGACCGTTTTTTAATATTGAATATACCATAAATTTATCTTTAATTTAAAAGACAAAATAGATAATATTAAACAATGACGAGTTGCACTCAGCTTATTTATATAATAGGCCAAATATTTCTTAAAATAGGCATCACACATAAAATGGCCAGTAACAAATGTATCCAAAGGGTCTAAAAATACCAAAATACCACATTATACTGAGTTAAAATATTCAAGATAAATAAATACGCATATAAAAACTAAACTTACATCTAATCTTTCTCTAATAGTTTTATACAAAAATTTACTTTATTACACAAAAATTAGAAAAAAAATTAGTGAAAACACACCGTTATACTAACTTTGGCATTACTTTTGCGACCAATGCCTGTGTACTTATACGATAAACAACAAAAAAATCCCTTGCACTATAGTTCATAAAACATAGCTTGATCTCTGCGACAGCTGTCAGTAAAATCACGCCTATGAAGTCCTGAATTTCTTAGTAGTACAGACACACAGTACCTGTCAATGTCATACTTTATGGGCATGCCGACCTAATTAGGTAATTAGTAGGACCTAATTAGGTCGGCATGCCCATTAAGTATGACATTGACAGGTACTGTGTGTCTGTACTACTAAGAAATTCAGGACTTCAAAGGCGTGATTTTACTGACAGCTGTCGCAGAGATCAAGCTATCTTTTATGAACTATAATCTCAACAAAGTGCATTAGACAGAAAGATCATATGAAATAATTACAATGAGGACTAGTGGAGTTTGTTTTCAGAAAATTTGCGAGATTCTATGGAAAATTACTTTATCTACATTTTATTGGCACTGATTCATATCGTCATTGCATTTAGAAATTATTTTAAGAGCACTTGAATAAGGCACATAAAATATAACATAGTATAGTTTTTTTTTCATTAATTTTAATATTAGTAAATTCATTTTAGAGTATTGAAAAAATAAATCACATTTCGAGGCCTGGGTGACCTTGGCTTGGTGATTTCTCATAAGAAACTCTTTACAAGTTTTATTAGGCGAACACTTGTTAGAAAGCTTGTTAGAAAAAAAAACATTTCAATCTAAAACCACACATAGCACAAAAAAGCTTAGCGGTTTGCAAAGGAATGTTGTGTCATAGAAATACTGCACTGCCGGAATGTTTTGAATAGTGACATGGTGTTTACTCGATCATCCTATTGTCTTAGGCACTTATAATTAACACTACTAAATGTATTCGAAATACTTTCACTACTTGTATGTAGCCTAACCTCTGTAATGGAAAAACTAGGACTGAGTGAAAAGACGATGTTTAATCAGAATTTTAAATTATGGTACTATTGAGTTCAATCTTAAGGTAAATCGATTGTAAGTTCACAAATTTAATAAATTTTTTAAAGCTTGCAATTCTAAAAATATATAACACATCTGTAATTTCAATATGAATCGAAATAAATGTAAAATTCTTGATTTTCAGTTATTAATTAATCAATTAGAGTATCAAAAATACAGCAAAGCATCTGTTTTATTGCGATGAAAACCATTATTTATTTCTATTTTACCGTTTAAAAGAAAACTTTAAACTTACAAATTATCTCGTGTAATCTCCTTGGGTAAGAACTATTTAATTTCCACATTCTACAAAATACACGGTCGTGGTTGTAGGAATATGATATACACAACGACTATACAAAGACAACAACAATACTAAAGACTAAATGAAACTGCAGAAACATGAAATTATTGAATCCCAGTTGGGATTTAATAATTACATAGTGCCACCTTTATATTCAATGATTATATTTTTTAATTAAATATAACAAAATAGTAAAATAAATTCAAGTTATTTTAAGTGGTAGTTCGTGGAATATATCAGATACGCGTAGTTTTCAAAATTTATGTGGTGATAATTAATTCCTGTCCAAAAGGAAATTATCACACACAACAATCTTTTTCTGATATTTCTAATGACATATACCTAACTACAGTTCTGACCGGGAGCTTTGTTCAAAATAGTTTTAATACATTTTACATACGACTAAAACATAAAATGGAGAGAAGAAGACTTGAGAAAACGTGTGGAGTAGTTTGGAAAATGTGAAAACGTTCGAAGGGGTGATTACACCCATACGAAATATAAATTTGTTAATGGGGAAGAAAAGGGTTGTCTGATTATTGGGGTGAGTGAACTGTAAACATTAGAGTAAGATTAAGGTATCGTTAAGAAGTTGGAGAAAATGGAAGCATGTAGACATGTACTAAAAACTTGATAAGCCATGTAAGGTAGGGGGCTATGGGGCGTGAGTAAGGTTTAGAACTGGCTGGATTATGTGGTGGAGTATAGTGGAATGGGTTTGCTAGTCGGTATGTGTGGTGAAATATAAAAGGTATGTGGAAAATATCGATGCGCACGAGTATGTGTGAAGTTTGCTAGGACTGAATAGGATATTGAAATGTGTAAGTTATGCAGTGACGCATGAACTAAAGGCACGTGATTTCATGTTAAACAATGTGTGACTCATTCAGTGATCATGTAGGGGTACGTGAGTTATGTGGTGGAGTGTGAGATATACATATGAAGGGGTGGCGGGTATCTCGGGGTGTGCGAGTTATGTCAAGGAGTGTGCATACCCGATACCCCGACATACTCCACATACCCGATATGCGGAGAATGTGGGGATGTCGGGTATTTAGGGGAATGAGAGATATGGGGGAGTGTGGGTTATGCGGCGCAGGTTGGGCTATGTTGGGGAGCGTGGATTATGTGGGGAGGGTGGGTTATGTGATAAAATGTGTGTGAAAGAGAGGGAGCGACTGCAGCGTGAGGGAGTGTGGGGGAGTGTGCGTGTGTGGGTTCGTGTACGGCGGGGTGGGTCAGTAGTAGTTGTGTCGCGGCGCGTCGGCGGGCGCGGGCAGGTAACTCACGGCGGGCACGGGCGGCCGCTCCAGCCGTGACTCCAGCGCCGCCAGCTGCTCGTCCAGCCGCAGCGACGTGCTGTCGAACCCGCAACCTGTAACACACAATATAACTCAAGCTGTGGTGAACATGCTTCGTAACAGTCCACTGCAGATCATTGGTCTACAACCATGGACTTGGAATGTAGGAACAATAACGCCTCCCGTTACAAACACAGCTTGCCGGCCACAATGGTTTTATACACAATGGACCAAAAAGATGTTATAGTAATAATGAGCCTTAAATATAATTCAACTTGAAATATCTAACCACGCGACATGGATCGAAAGTATGTATGTTGGTTGCGCCAAAACGCACATTTGATTTACTGTATTAAGCTGGCAATATCCTTCCTCTTCACCTCCGATTCCTTCCTGCATGGGCACACTCAGTGAGATACTAGACATGGTGGCGTCATTCTGTTCGGCCAATTAAACGCGCTGCCCAAAGAAAAAGGGGCCGGAAACACGCTATCGGCCGACCGGCCCGAGTCATCGTCGTGCACTCAGTCGCCCCAGTTGAAGCTCGATCTTAGATGTGGCAGCACCCGTAACTGTCGAGCCACAGAACAATTTCGTATTACCGCTTGCATAGTGCTATTCGTCGTGCACTGGTACAAACAATTTGTTGCACCGCAGTGCCACCAGCCTAGAGGCCTTAGCAAGTGGCCGCGTGCAGCCACGCCCAAGTAAGTGCCCGCTTCTATCTTGAGCTGTTTTCATTTGTTATTCCCTTTTCCCACAGCAGGTTATGATGCTGACACGCCGGCTAAATATAGTAAATTGAGTCTTAGAAAGAGCATTGTCTAAAACCTGCTACGTGCCACGTCCGCCATTTTCTTTGGGTTATAGTCAACCACGCTAAATACAGTCCACTTTAGTTAGTCCCGCACCCAACTATTTGAGGCCATTGTTGCCGGGAATCGAACCCGCGACCACGCCACCATATGTAATACAAACGTAATATTTAACTCAATTTAGGTAATAAAAGTATACCAGTAAAAACTATGTGTAGTGGTAGTATTATATGTACATTATTGGAGTCCAATTTTTTTAAACATTAATAAAAACGTCTTACAATGTCAATGTTATGTTTTTAGGGTGAGAGCAATTTGCTATTTGGAGCAATACATTTCCAATGGGAATTAAATTGTATAGGATCTTTTTTACGATAATAGACAAAACAATAATTGAAATTTATAAAATACTTATTTATACCATTTTTAATGTACGCATTATAATAATGAATCAGGAAAACAGAAAAGAATTTCTAAAATTTAAAAAAAATATTAGGCGAATGTACAATATAAAAAGTGGTAAAACTAAAAATTTTGTCGGTTGAAAATAATTTCAATGTGAATTATGCTATTTATATCGATCGATTGATTCCAAAATTAAAAACGGCGGGCGAGGTGTCGGTAGCGTAAGGCCACGTGTATGTGTAGTGTGTAGGGTAGGAGCGAGCTTACCGCTGGTGTTGTTGTGCGGCGAGTAGTTGCGGCGGGCGAGGTGTCGGTAGCGCAAGGCCAAGTGTATGTATAGTGTGTAGAGTAGGAGCGAGCTTACCGCTGGTGTTGTCGTTGTGCGGCGAGTAGTTGCGGCGGGCGAGGTGTCGGTAGCGCAAGGCCACATGTATGTGTAGTGTGTAGGGTAGGAGCGAGCTTACCGCTGGTGTTGTTGTGCGGCGAGTAGTTGCGGCGGGCGAGGTGTCGGTAGCGCAAGGCCAAGTGTATGTGTAGTGTGTAGGGTAGGAGCGAGCTTACCGCTGGTGTTGTTGTGCGGCGAGTAGTTGCGGCGGGCGAGGTGTCGGTAGCGCAAGGCCAAGTGTATGTATAGTGTGTAGAGTAGGAGCGAGCTTACCGCTGGTGTTGTCGTTGTGCGGCGAGTAGTTGCGGCGGGCGAGGTGTCGGTAGCGCAAGGCCACATGTATGTGTAGTGTGTAGGGTAGGAGCGAGCTTACCGCTGGTGTTGTTGTGCGGCGAGTAGTTGCGGCGGGCGAGGTGTCGGTAGCGCAAGGCCAAGTGTATGTATAGTGTGTAGAGTAGGAGCGAGCTTACCGCTGGTGTTGTCGTTGTGCGGCGAGTAGTTGCGGCAGGCGAGGTGTCGGTAGCGCAAGGCCAAGTGTATGTATAGTGTGTAGAGTAGGAGCGAGCTTACCGCTGGTGTTGTCGTTGTGCGGCGAGTAGTTGCGGCGGGCGAGGTGTCGGTAGCGCAAGGCCACATGTATGTGTAGTGTGTAGGGTAGGAGCGAGCTTACCGCTGGTGTTGTTGTGCGGCGAGTAGTTGCGGCGGGCGAGGTGTCGGTAGCGCAAGGCCAAGTGTATGTATAGTGTGTAGAGTAGGAGCGAGCTTACCGCTGGTGTTGTCGTTGTGCGGTGAGTAGTTGCGGCGGGCGAGGTGTCGGTAGCGCAAGGCCACATGTATGTGTAGTGTGTAGGGTAGGAGCGAGCTTACCGCTGGTGTTGTCGTTGTGCGGCGAGTAGTTGCGGCGGGCGAGGTGTCGGTAGCTGCAAGGCCGCTGTATGTATAGTGTGTAGAGTAGGCAGCGAGCTTACCGCTGGTGTTCGTCGTTGTGCGGTGAGTAGTTGCGGCGGGCGAGGTGTCGGTAGCGCAAGGCCACATGTATGTGTAGTGTGTAGGGTAGGAGCGAGCTTACCGCTGGTGTTGTCGTTGTGCGGCGAGTAGTTGCGGCGGGCGAGGTGTCGGTAGCGCAAGGCCACATGTATGTGTAGTGTGTAGGGTAGGAGCGAGCTTACCGCTGGTGTTGTTGTGCGGCGAGTAGTTGCGGCGGGCGAGGTGTCGGTAGCGCAAGGCCAAGTGTATGTATAGTGTGTAGAGTAGGAGCGAGCTTACCGCTGGTGTTGTCGTTGTGCGGCGAGTAGTTGCGGCGGGCGAGGTGTCGGTAGCGCAAGGCCACGTTGTGTAGTATGTAGGGTAGGAGCGAGCTTACCGCTGGTGTTGTTGTGCGGCGAGTAGTTGCGGCGGGCGAGGTTTCGGTAGCGCAAGGCCACGTGTATGTGTAGTGTGTAGGGTAACAGCGAGCTTACCGCTGGTGTTGTCGTTGTGCGGCGAGTAGTTGCGGCGGGCGAGGTGTCGGTAGCGCAATGCCACGTGTATGTGTAGTGTGTAGGGTAGGAGCGAGCTTATCGTTGGTGTTGTCGTTATGCGGCGAGTAGTTGCGGCGGGCGAGGTGACGGTAGCGCAAGGCCACGTGTATGTGTAGTGTGTAGGGTAAGAGCGAGCTTACCGCTGGTGTTGTCGTTGTGCGGCGAGTACTTGCGGCGGGCGAGGTGTCGGTAGCGCAAGGCCACGTGTATGTGTAGTGTGTAGGGTAAGAGCGAGCTTACCGCTGATGTTGTCGTTGTGCGGCGAGTAGTTGCGGTGGGCGAGGTGTCGGTAGCGCAATGCCACGTGTATATGTAGTGTATAGGGTAGGAGCGAGCTTACCGCTGGTGTTGTCGTTATGCGGCGAGTAGTTGCGGCAGGCGAGGTGTCGGTAGCGCAAGGCCACGTGTATGTGTAGTGTGTAGGGTAAGAGCGAGCTTACCGCTGGTGTTGTCGTTGTGCGGCGAGTAGTTGCGGCGGGCGAGGTGTCGGTAGCGCAATGCCACGTGTATGTGTAGTGTATAGGGTAGGAGCGAGCTTACCGCTGGTGTTGTTGTGCGGCGAGTAGTTGCGGCAGGCGAGGTGTCGGTAGCGCAAGGCCAAGTGTATGTAGTGTGTAGGGTAGGAGCGAGCTTACCGCTGGTGTTGTTGTGCGGCGAGTAGTTGCGGCGGGCGAGGTGTCGGTAGCGCAAGGCCACGTGTATGTGTAGTATGTAGGGTAGGAGCGAGCTTACCGCTGGTGTTGTTGTGCGGCGAGTAGTTGCGGCGGGCGAGGTTTCGGTAGCGCAAGGCCACGTGTATGTGTAGTGTGTAGGGTAACAGCGAGCTTACCGCTGGTGTTGTCGTTGTGCGGCGAGTAGTTGCGGCGGGCGAGGTGTCGGTAGCGCAATGCCACGTGTATGTGTAGTGTGTAGGGTAGGAGCGAGCTTATCGCTGGTGTTGTCGTTATGCGGCGAGTAGTTGCGGCGGGCGAGGTGTCGGTAGCGCAAGGCCACGTGTATGTGTAGTGTGTAGGGTAAGAGCGAGCTTACTGCTGGTGTTGTCGTTGTGCGGCGAGTACTTGCGGCGGGCGAGGTGTCGGTAGCGCAAGGCCACGTGTATGTGTAGTGTAAGAGCGAGCTTACCGCTGGTGTTGTCGTTGTGCGGCGAGTAGTTGCGGTGGGCGAGGTGTCGGTAGCGCAAGGCCACGTGTATGTGTAGTGTGTAGGGTAAGAGCGAGCTTACCGCTGATGTTGTCGTTGTGCGGCGAGTAGTTGCGGTGGGCGAGGTGTCGGTAGCGCAATGCCACGTGTATATGTAGTGTATAGGGTAGGAGCGAGCTTACCGCTGGTGTTGTCGTTATGCGGCGAGTAGTTGCGGCAGGCGAGGTGTCGGTAGCGCAAGGCCACGTGTATGTGTAGTGTGTAGGGTAAGAGCGAGCTTACCGCTGGTGTTGTCGTTGTGCGGCGAGTAGTTGCGGCAGGCGAGGTGTCGGTAGCGCGATGCCACGTGTATGTGTAGTGTGTAGGGTAGGAGCGAGCATACCGCTGGTGTTGTCGTTGTGCGGCGAGTAGTTGCGGCGGGCGAGGTGCCGGTAGCGCGAGGCCACGTGTATGTGTAGTGTGTAGGGTAGGACTGAGCTCACCGCTGGTGTTGTCATTTTGCGGCGGGCGAGGTGTCGGTAGCACGAGGCCACGTGTATGTGTAATGTGTAGGGTAGGACTGAGCTCACCGCTGGTGTTGTCGTTGTGCGGCGAGTAGTTGCGGCGGGTGAGGTGCCGGTAGCGCGAGGCCACGCCGCTGGCCACGCCGCTCACGCTGCCCACGCTGCCCACGCCACCCACGCCCTCCGCGCTCGAGAACGACGCGCCCGACGACAGACCCACTGATAAACATGCCTATTCTTAGTTTTGTCGTAATAATAGATTAAAAACGGCCTTGCTTGCTAAGAATACCTACTACCTTTAAATTAATACGCTGGAAACAACAGTGGATGTATTACAGCTTATTAGTAGGTAAAAGATGATCCCTAAAACTAGCTTAATTCATAGACAAAAAAAAATTTAATTCTTTAAAAAACTATAACAATGACAGTAAAGTAGCAGGTAAAACTGTAACCAGTAAAAACTGATCACTTTTTTTAACTATACATAATCATGTTAAGTAAATAAATTCCATTCGAAGTATTTCAACATTTATGCCATCAAAAACATAACTTGTAAAAAAACCAAGCCTCGCAACTCAGTTCTTCCATCATAAAAAGTTGTGAGATCCATGTAATACCAAGTCGGTTAATTTATTCAGTCCCTACTTAAGGGTCCTTCTGTTTTAAGTTATTATGTAATTAGCTAACCTAACAACATTTTTCAATGTCAAACCTAACAAAATTTTCAATTTCATTATCAACGTTAAAAATCTTTTATGTTTTAAATAAATAGATTGACTTGGCCATCGCATTAAAACACAATGTATCTCACAATTAATTAGATTGTTTAGTGCGATTGCCAAGTCAATCTATTTACTTGAAACTTAAAAGATTTTTAACATTGATATTGTTACGAGCTTGAGGTTCGTGACGATAAAAATGAATTACCAAAATTAACGCTTATATTACCGAACACCAATTAAAACTTAAACACTAATAATTAATCAGACTGATTCACTTTATTTCGCTCCGAAGCTTCGCGTGTCTCACCAAATTCAATACTACTCCAAACGCGGCTTGCAGTGGCTTTAAATACACCTTTTACACCGAAACATCGAGAATATTCCAGTAAATACGGGCGCCGACCGACCAGACGCAGAAAGTTCGAGTGTGGGGCTTCTAGAAAGCTTAATTCTTCCCTTCGATACTAGATGGCGCTGTTGGTCGAAAGTTTAAGATTGATATTTTCTAGGAAGCCCTCCTCGCTCTGGTCCCCGAAACTAGATGGTGCTAGTGTCAGGTACCTGACGTCAACTTAGGTGCGCAACACTGCCCCCTCCTAAGCCATGCTCGTCCCGAGCATTATCGGCCCCATAATAACGCGCCAGGCGATCCACATGGACGATCTTAGGAGTCCCTCTTGCACCTTTCTGAAACGGCTCCGCAATGTCAAGGGCTGTGCTATCCCATGGTGCACCAACATTGTACAATTTCGATGCTCCTCTACTACGCGTCAGAGGTCCCTTCACAGCCGCACAACTTGTTTTTTTTATTTTTTTTTATTTTATTTTAATAAAGATAACAACAGCGTATATCACTAAATACAATTTCAAATTTACTTCAAGTATGCCAATAACAGTTATCCACATATTAAATATAAAGGTAAGCTATTATTAAGATAAGAAATTTTTAGTACATGTGCGAGACCAGTCTTCGACATCGTCACGATAATGGACAAAGTAAAACTGTTCTCGGATCTTCATTAGAGTTCGTTTAACTCCAAGATGGACTCCTGAACAACCATTATGGTACAGCTGTAGAACATTCGGCACTTTAGCTTTAGGGATAACCATTTGCAAACGACAGCTGTCTCTTCGAACATTGTCCCATTTACGGCACATGACTTCATCCTGAATCAGCAAGCTGTACCATTGGGCCCAACAGCTTCTAGTGGTCGAACTCATCGCTGAGACATCGCTCCACTTGGGCTTGGTAGCACGGGCCTTCATCTATTCCAGAGTCGGCTTGATGTCCGTATCTTCCTGCTGTGCATGTTGTAAGCTCCACTTCCACTCGTTGCTGAGGTGGTCTGTCCTGAGCATCCTCACGGATACCACTTCCTTACTCTCTTGCCTAGTACAGTGCTTGCATTCTTCAGGGCAAGGTCTCCTTGACAATGCATCTGCGTTGCCATGCGATTTCCCGCTGCGGTGTTCAATCACAAAGTCGTATTCCTGCTGCTGGGTGGTGTTGTTGGCCGCACAACCCTCTTGAGATCGATCACCTTTCCTTTTTACAGATCGCTTAGGGCAGCTGAATCGAAGATGGCCCCTTTCCTCACAACCATAGCACTTTGGGCTGTAATTTTTATTGTGGTCGCGAACCGTAACTGCTGCAATCTCTCTAAAGTGAGGGGAACGATGATCCTGCCGCCGCCAGGCGGTGTCGTTAGCTACACTACCCTCTCGAGATCGATCAACTTCCCTTTCTACAGTTCGCTTAGGGCAACCGGATCGAAGATGGCCGCTATCCTCACAGCCATAGCACCTAGGGCTATATCCATTATTGCGGTCGCGAAGTGTAGCTGCTGCAACGTCCCTGAGAAGATGGGAACGAAGATCCTGCCGCACGGCTTCCACCTCCAGTGCATGGGCCAAGGCGTCGTTAAACGTCTCGTGGTGCCCGAAACTCACAGCAGCTCTAACTTCAAGGTCGCGGATGCCGTCGATGAACGTCTGCACCAGGCTCCCTTCAATGAGCGCAGGTACTGGTATGCTTTTCGAACCATCTCCTCCACATCAAGGTGACGACTCCGTGGCGCAGTGCCTTAGCAATGAGTGGCTGCGCTGGGGTCGCGGGTTGGAATCCCGCTCGGAATAAGTATTTGTATGGCCTACAAATAATTGTTCCGGGTCTGGATGTTTGTCCTTGAGCAATTTATGTTTGTAAACTCCTAAAACCACGATACAGGAGAAAATCCTAGTGTAGGGGTAACATTTTTTAAAATAAAAAATAAATAAAAAAAGGCCCAATGCTGCAGGTTTTCGTTAGTGCGTTGCACGCGACTTAATTCTTCAGTTCGATACTAGATGGCGCTGTTGGTCGAAAGTTCAAGATTGACATTTTCTAGGAAGCCCTCCTCGCTCTTGGTGTCAGAAGTGGGTCACTACAAGATGTTGTTAGGTTAGCTAATTACGTAATAACTTAAAACAGAAGGACCCGCAGAAGGACATGCAGGAAGTCGATGGATGCAGGAGGCTCAGGACCGTGTTTTATGGCATAATGAATGCCACAAAACACGGTCCTATGGACACGGCGTAGGCCTATGTTCAGCAGGGAACTTGTAAAGAGCTGTAATGATGATGATGATGATACTTTCATATGCATTAAGTAAAAAGCTATTATTTGGAAATTATAAACAGACACATCAATTTTACTTATTTGTATATAGTTTAGTTCAGATAAGTATCTTTTCCAGTTTTATGAAAATTAGAAGATGCACTGGAATAGCCTCTTGTATTTGTTTCGCGATAATCACTGGAAAATTCTAAATAAAAAAAACCTTTTTCTTCTCCTCAATTAGCCTGTAACAGTCCAAGGTTTTATACGTGGTAGAGCCATGCTGAAGTTATAGAGTAGTATAGTTGTAGCACGAATGGGTCGGCTCGACCGGGGAAGGACCACGCTCTCAAAGAATACCAGCGTAAAATAGCAGCTTAATGCTGCTGTGTTTCGTATGGTTGAGTGTAGAGAACCGGAGAATCTTTTTACGGGAAACGAGGCACTCCATCTTAGTCGTCATGGGTGACAACGTATCTGGATTTTGATTTGTAATCGAGGATAGATATAGATGTCTATGGGCCGCAGCAACCGCTTACCATCAGGTGGACTGTGTGCTCGTTTGTGACCCTATCCTATAAAAAAAGGTGGAGCATGCTCTCCCATAATATTCATTTATTTTTTCATTCATTACATTTTATCAAAAGTCTTCAATAGATATGTAGAGTTGGCAACTGCATTTGTTTTCTATTGTTGTCAGGAAGATGCTGCTGATTATATTAGGTTTCAGTACTCCTCTCATGCCTCTTACGACACCAACAGTATCTCCACTTGAGGTAGAGCATTCTCCATAGGCCATAACATACGTAAAATCAATTACCAAGTTCCTCTCGACTAGAATTATTTCTTAATGAAGCTCCGCTATCGTAGGCGGCACTAGTGTGCTTCTGAAGAACTTTTATCATTGCATCGCGCTCCGCAACCTTTGATTCTAACTCTTTTACCCTGTGAAAAACAAAACATAAATGCAATCAAATATCTTACAATATACAGGACGTCCCGGCTATGCCACACAGAAAACTTATTTAAAATTTTGTATATAGGAAAATTTGCTTCTTCAAGATTTTTATTGTATATTTGTAAAGTAAGTAATTCTGCATCCAAAGATTTTTAGAAATTGGCTTGTGCGGTGAACCCTAATTCTTTTTCTAACATATAAGTAGCCAAGTTACTCCTTATAACTTCTGGTATCTTGCCAGTGAAACCGTGCCGTGTCCCGTCAAAATAGGTCCAGCCGTTTCGGAGATTAGCCGGAACAAACAGACAGACAAAACTTTTAATAATTGTCTTGTTGTTATAGGTACCTATGCATTTAGTAAAAAGCTGTTATTTTGACATTACAAACAGACACTTCAATTGTATTTATTTGTTTAGATTAAATACTCAGAATGCCATCCATGTTCTTGTAAGAAAATTCTCAATCTTAAGATAATTTCGCTGCCTGTAGTTCGTCCTATATGCTGATACTTCCATTGCGAAGTTTTTAGGAGATTTTGACGACAGAATAACCCTGGGGACAGTTGATGACGACAGTATCTCAATGCACCTAAGCGGGAAAAAGAACTTGAGATTAAAAATCACCATCGGAGCACTTGTGACATCGTTACGAAAATGAAGTTGTAAATAACTGATAACTATGTAATTTAAAGTTTATATCATTTTTATATCTTGCTAGATTGTACCCGGCGCATTGCTGCCGTAGAAGAAATAATTGTAGAAATATCATTTTAAATTCGAAAGAGTTTTATTGTTTAATTAGGAATGATAACACAATCATTGAAATAGAATGATCTATAATTTTCAAAAAACTTGTCAGTACCGATATGTGCGTAATCTAGTGTAAGTTAATCAGGGGTCTAATAACAAAGGCGGCAAAGTCCCATATCATTATATGGGACTTTGCCGCCTTTGTTATTAGACCCCTAAATTGTACTATGTCTATTACCATATGGAACCACTGAGAAAAGTACTCGTCCTTAGGGGTCTCTTTCGACGGCATTTTGAAACACAGCATCTGCTTAATGATTTCTTATATTTACGCGAACACTACACATTGAAATAATACTAGTTTTTACGGAATTTATCGCGTATCACTCATGTAGTAGCACTCATGGGCACGGGCGTGACATCTCAGTCAGTCAATCAACATCTCAGTCCCACCCGTGACCATGAGTGCTGTAAAGCGTTCGAAACGTCGGGTATTTAAAAAGTTAAATATACGCGATAAATTCCGTAAAAACTAGTATTACAGCCTCTGCTTCCTCGGCGTCTATAAAACGTTTTACCGAAGTTTTTCTTTTATTTTCGAAAAATCATAAAAATTATAAAAATCGCAAGGTTGTTGTCGTGGAAGGAGGATCCCACTGCGAGGTCGTTTCTTCCCAAATAGACAAGTGGCAAGCACTTTTCAAGACAAGTGGCAAACAATTGTTAGTGTACCACTCTGCAGCAATTGTTTTTCGATCCTCTAAAGCAATTGTTGCGTAAAGACCTGTCCTTCCGAAGAACGAGGCCACTATCTTTTTTCCACACGCTTCGACCTCTCTTCACTTTAGTTGGCAACTCTTCGGAAGTAAACACACAGACAGCAGACTGTCTCTTAGTTTCAGGATCATAACAATAAATCCAGCTTTCGTCACCCGTAAGTATGTCGAACATAGCATTTGAATCACCTCCGTTAAATCTTTGAACAATTTCACGACACCAATCAACAGGACTGTGTTTTTGGGCCTCTGTCAAATTATGAGGTATCCAACGGGCACAAAGCTTCCTGACCGCTAAATGTTTTATTTATTTATTTATGCTTTCATGCACAAAAAAGTACATATGGCGGACTTAATGCCATAGGGCATTCTCTCCCAGTCAATCATTAGGCTAAACAGAGATAGACATTATGGAGGCGGTGCAGCAATAATCAAATATAGAGGATAAAAGAAATAATAATATATATAATATATATATATATATATATATATATATATATATCACTATATACACATAAATACATAAGTATATATCTATATATACACAATAGGTTAGAACAAATATGAAAAATATACGAAAAAGAGAGCTGAGTTGACAAACTTGCAACGATTTAATCATATACTTACGGCCTTGATTTTTAAAGACGAATTTGTTGGGAGTTTTTTTAATGTTAAGAGGAATGTCGTTCCAGAGTCTGATGGCCATGAGGGCGAAAGAGTGAGATAAATAACCAGTACGGTGTAAAGGAGTGAGCAACTTAAGATTGGCCGAGGAATGTTCATGGAAGATTTTGTGCACTTGACTCATACCGATGCCTAAAGCCCGGTTTACATTTTGAGAAGTGACAAGTGCGAGCGGCAATGACAAGTGACAAATGACAAATAGCAAGCTGGTGTTCACACACGTGGCAAGTGGATGTCATTATTATGTAAAATCTTCGAGTGTGAAATTGGGTTGGTAATTGTCAAAGTGGCGCTAGCGTAGCTTTAAAGTTTAAACGTTAATTAAAAAAAAGGTAAAATTGTATGATGAGATACCAAAGATGTGTGAAGTGCCTTATTGCAAAGATATTGGTGCACAACAATTTCCTAAAAACGCTAAAGTGAGAAAAATGTGTCTTAAAGCTATAAGAGGGAAAAAATTTAAGCCTGAGAATATAATGGCTCCAGGCCCTGACTTACAGGAGTCTTTAATTTTCTTCTTTGGTAATATGTAGACTTAATGCTTCTTAACTTCGCATATACTTCTTTTGCGCCGAAACCAGCCATTCTCATTGCTTGAGATATTGAGAGCATAGCAGCGTCTCGTATCATTTTATTTTTTTTTAAATTCGGCGATTTAATATTGTATAAACATTCGTGTTTCAATAATTCCTGGACTGGAATTTAATGTTATTGTTATCTGATCACTTCGCCATTGTTAAAAACAATAGTGTAATAAACCAAAATTATTATAAATATTGTGACCAGGATTAAGAAAGGAATGCTTCGGTGGTTTGGTCATGTAGAAAGAATGAATGAGGAAAGAGTGACAAAGCAAATTTATATGGCAGATGTGAACGGCCGAGTCGGGAAGGGCCGCCCTAGAAAAAAGTTTATCGACCAAATTGGCGATATTTTGAAAAGGGGCCACGTTAGAAGTACCCTTAACCGACGAGCATGTATGCGTAGATATATGGATGTAAAGGAGGCGAAAGAGGTATGTCAGGATCGTGCCAAATGGAAGTCCGTAGTCTCTGCCAACCCCTCTGGGTGACAGGCGTGAGTGTTTATGTTATGTTTATGTTTATGTATTATAAATATGTATATAATATACATATATATAACAAAAATATTTTATTTAATAACTATTATCACCAACACGTGTATGTTTTGACGTCGCAGCTAGAACGGGGGCGGCGGTGGGGACTGAGGGGAAAGCAAGGTTAGCGCGGGGCAGAGATACTTGTCAGAGAATAAAGCAGACTGCTATTCACTTGTTACTTTTCATTTCACACTTATCAATTGTCACTTGCACTAGTCACCGCCTGTTCACGCGCACTAAGCACTTGTCATTTGTCACTTGTCATTGTCACTGGCACTTGTCACTTCTCAAAATGTAAACCGGGCTTAAGCTAGTCCAAATCTGCTGATAAGTAACTCTTTTGTCAGACTTAATCTTACGCCGCACAACAGTAATGTTATCTTCAGTCGTCGCCGTAGAAGGCCATCCCTTACGCAGATCATCGGTGAGATTAGTGCCACCACATTTAAACTCATTAAACCAGTGGCACGAGATAGGGCTTCATCGTGAAAGGCCAATCGAAGTCCATCATAACTTTCTTGTTGACTTAAATGACATCGAAAGTCGTAAAAAATTATGTGACACAGACAATTTTCAATTTGCCGGCAAATCGTAAACAAATGACAAATTAATTAAATACATGCACAATAATATTGGCTAAGAGTTCCATTTTCAAAATTTGAACTTATTTTATAATAATATCGTTTACAAGAGGTCACTTCTAAAAACTTTCAGTGTCGCCCTCGTATATAGAGGTCAGCGTATACATTGCCCCATGAATGAATTACAGACTCTGGTGAGTAGAGAAACTGTTATCACTAGCTTTTGTTTGTTTCTAGTGTTTACAAAGTGTATATTACTTATTTTATTAAAACTACTTTTGATTTTGTGAACATACATTCAACTTTCGTAAGAGACCAAAGTTAATATATTTATTTCTTTAAATTTTTCCCTGAGAGACTCAATTTTAGGTTCTAAATAGCTCTCTATGGTCCTCTTCTTCAAAACTAAAATAATTTCTAAATCAGCCGCATTCCCCCATAGCAAAATTCCATATGACATTATGCTATGAAAATAACTAAAATAAACTAATCTAGCTGTCTCGACACTAGTGCGACCTCTTATCTTTTTTATAGTATAAGCTGCAGAGCTTAGTCTGATTGCATTGCTGCTCAGTTCCTTCCCATTTAAAAACACATTGGTATTTAGATTTTTAACATTCAGTAAGTTTTTTACATTAAGTTGTATTGCCGTTTAAATGTAGAACTAACTAATGCACTAATTTTGATATAGCATTATTCACTGCGTCACATTTTAATAACTGCCGATTCAGTTTAAAAACCAAGGAAGTATCATCAGCAAAAAATAATCCCTACTAGGAAAGATAAAGGTAAGGTAGACTAGAAATAGAAATCGGCCGAAAATGGTGCCTTGAGGGACACCCATTCAATACAGGTGACTCGGAAGAACTTTTAACATTGATAATAACATTCTGCGTTATATTATTACTTAAATATTAAATAATAATTTTAAGTGCTATGTTCTTGACACCACAGTCACAGTACTGTAACTTCCTGATTAATTTCTCATAGTGAACACAGTCGAAGGCCTTGAAAAGGTCACAAAATATACACAAAACATTCGCTGAATTATCCCATGTATAAAAAATATGTTTAATAAGCTCAACAACGGCGTCAGATGTCGAGTAATCCCTTGTAAAACCAAATTCATTTTTATGAAAAAAAACTTAACATGATTTTTTAAAACATTTTCACATGTTGTTAGTACAGATTTAAATAAAGGTATAACTTTTTGTTTCATTAAATCAGGAAATACACCAGATTCGATACTTGTCTTTTATTTTTATAAACGATTGGTATGGAGCGTTTCATACACAAAATAATAATCACTACATTGAATAAAGATCTTATGTTTCATACGGGATTAATATTGCGGAAATATACCTGCTCTCCAGGTCAGCAACTTTCTTTTGTGCAGAGTGCAATTCATCCATATGCCTTATTTTCTCAGTCCGAACCTCGGCCATAAGTCTCTCTGACTCCGCAGACGTCTTCTCGAGGGCTGCTATCTTCACATCTCTAGAAAACAAACAGCCATAATTGCCATAGGTGATTAGAAGGAGATATGAAAGTAGGATTTTTTTGGTCTAGGTCTATTCAAATATAGATGATGTCATTTGCCACCGTGGCCAGCGAAAATGACCAGGAAGTATTCCGCTGAAAATTTGGATCAAGTGTCAAGGCTGTTGTGAAAACCAGAGTACTGCGATATACAACAACCCAAAACTGAACGCCTAGACAGTCGAAAACTAATAACCTTTCGCTACCAATTGAAACTTTTGCACTGTCAGTTTTTTTAAAGTCCAACGGTGTGTTAGCAACGCTACATCTTTATTATGGTACCGGGTACATAAATTAAGATTTTTAACTTGGATGCCTGTGCTTTAAGCCATATCTTTATTTTATTTGGGGTCTTCGTTTTTATATTTTTTTTTCTTTACAACAATATGCTGATGCATCACATTGCGAAGTTTTTGGGGGATTTTGACGACAGCTCAACCCAGTGAACAGTCGAGGACAACAGTCAGAGGCATGACGCAGCGCAGGTTCCTCCGGGTAGCACTGCTCCCACTTGGCGCACTCGCCCTCTAGCGCCGGCAGCTGCAGCTGCACTCACTTGGGTATGGATGCGGCGGACACGGCGGCCTGGCGCAGCGCAGCCTCCTCCAGGTAGCGCTGCTCCCACTTGGCGCACTCGCCCTCCAGCGCCAGCAGCCTCTCATCGCGCTCTCTCAGCTGTCGCCGTAGCTCGGCCTCGCCGCCTGCGCTGTTGCCAGTTCCACCCGAACTGTTAGTGGGACTTGCACCCCCACAGTTGCATTCTCGTTTCCTGGACAAAATTTCAAAGTCAAAAATTTTATTCAATTTTTTTTTCATTTAAATGCAATGTCAAAATCGACACCGGTTCGAAAAAAACGAAATTCTCAAAGAACCTGTAAGATACTTTAGCGCCTTTTCTTTTAAATCCCATATCGATTTAATTCAAATTAGTAATTATTCAAATAGATAAGTATTTCAGACACTTAAGAATAGTAAGTCTGATAATAAAATTATAGTGCATATAATTTTATTATGAGACGTCAAAACATCCAACTTTAAACCAGTACTTGCTACGCTTTGATTCCAGAAAAAACTGATCATACCGAAGAGTCTGTAGTTCTTTTTCCAGTTGCGCTCGAAGTTTCCTCTCAGTGTGTTCGCGCCTATCGGACGCTTGTTGTAGGGACGCCAACGCCCTCTGCAAACCCATAACTCTCTCCACATACCCACTTGCGTGACGACACTGTACAAAACATCAAAAATAATCACAAATAAGAAACGAAAAGTTATGAGCGGCGATATAAAATGTATAAAAACTATGTGCATGCATACCTCTTCTTCCAACCTCACGACGTTGGCCTGAGCGTTAGTGAGGGCCGTGTCTAGGATATCGATATGTGTGCGTTGTTCCTGCAAGGTGGCGCGCTGCGCCGCCATCTCGATCTCCTGACGCTCTTTGGCACACGCCAACTCCTTGTCTATGGGCCAAACCAAAATATTATATTATTTTGTAAACATCAAAAATTATAATAAGTAATAGTACTACGTACAGAAGTTACACTCCTTTGATGTTAACTGCTTGCCGACGTTTAATAGCGTACATAATTATTATTAATTAGATAAATCGCACACGCAAGCTAAATAAAACATCATCGCTGCGCGCGTGTGTCCATATTACTTTGCATCTTTTCCCCTTCCTACGTCACGGCGGACTTTCCGTGGTTACTAAGGGCTGTCAATAAGGAGTAAAAAAAATACATTTCGAAATGACCATTCGTCGGGAATCGCGATGCTTGGTTCGGAAAAATGGATAAATAGCGTAAACAACAAATAAACCTGAAATAAGATTCCTAACAGAAATGTGATCTTACCTATTTTACTTTGTTAAAATCTTGTAAGTAAACAAAGTTTTAATTTCAGTGTCTTGTGTATTATAACTTAATATATTTTAATTACAAAAGACAAGAATAGGTATTGCTGGGCGCCATAATTAATTCCTGGTACATGGCGAGTTACCACTATCGCCATCTAGTATCGAGTAGCAGAACTAGGAGAGCTTTCTAGAAAACTCCATACCAGAACTTTCTACTTTTAGTTGGGATCGGTATGTACTCGAATATTCTAGATGTTTCAATAGAAGAGGCCCTATTCTATATAAGGCCGGTAAGGACCGCGACCGAGTCAGTATTGAATTGACATCCAAGAGAATACTTCGAAGCGATATAACTGCGAACTAAAGTGATCAGTAGTGCAATTATGTTTATTACTAGTGTGTTTTAAGTTGCTGGTGTTCGGTAATTGAAGTGTCAATTTTGGTAATTCAATTGGCAGTTTTACTGTCACGAATCTCAAGCTCGTAACAGTATGTAAGTAGATACTTGGATAGTGATGAAAATTGAAACTCAGTTTTGTAATAAAGTACGTAGTTATTATATAAATTACAACTTAATTCTTTTTTGCTATAAGTACCTATCTAACAGAAATAAATAAATAAATTCACCTTTCATAACTTACTACCAAAATCCTTCGGTAACTTAAAGAATGATATACAGTGAAATCTGGTTAAATGGGACCTGGATAAGTGAGAAACCTCTATTATTGAGAGCTACAATAAGGTCCCGGCACTTTATCATCGATTTACCTCTGTTAATGGGACTTTTCGAACCTGGTTAAATGAGATTTCATTTCTAGGATTTTTTCGTATTTACGTCTATAATTGGGACTCTGGAGCTCAATTACCTCCATTAGTGAGACAATTTATAAGGTAGGGACAGGTTTCGACACGATTGTTTACAAACATTTGAATTTGTTTCACGTCATGTTGCGCACATGCATCGTTTGATAGTACTATCTCAAATTTTGAGCTACAAACAAGATAATAAAAGTTCATAAAATGTCCAAACGTAACACATCAATATCTAAAAAATTATAGCTTCTATCAGATTATGATTGTGGAAAGTCGCGAGATCAACTGTGTTCGGAGTATAGGATACCAAAGTCAACTCAGTGTAGAATTATTCGAAACAACGAAAATTCGGTTTCAGTGTATTGATGGAAAAGGAAAACTAAAACGAATACGATCAGCAGAGTATCCTGAGCTTATAACACTCTAATAAGCGGACCAATGATTAAATAGAAAGCTCAAGAATTTGCAAGTAAGCTATTGATAAATATTGATAATTCTTTCGGCAGTTTTCGGGCCTCTGTGAATGAGACAGCTAAATTTTAAACCTGTCTAACTGGAAAACTGGATAAATGAAAAACTCTTTAAATGGTACAAAATCCTTGGTTCCTTGAGATCCCAATTAATCAGGTTTCGCTGTATATGAAACCTTTTGTTGGTCATTTAGCATCTATCCACGCAACAATCACAGTAGAAACGACGATTTGCTATTATAATTTATCAAATAGGTTATACGTAATATGTATACATATAATTTTAAAATTACATTAAAACTTTTTCAACTACTTTATCCTACGATAAATAAACTAAACACTGAACAAAAACTATTTCAACAAGTATTTACAAAAAAATATATACGTAAATACCGTTAAAATCGCCTACAACTCGCTAGCCCCGACTGCGTATGTTACCCTGGGTGCGTCGTGATTTTAGGTAATCATTTCACGCAGGTAGCAAGAGTGACAGAGGCCTGCCTATGAGCCAAACTAAATCAAAATAATAATACGTGAACACGGAAAATTGAAGTACCTTTTTAATATTTATTATAAAAAGAGTAGAATGGAACTTCCCAAAATTCGAAAGGTATAATGTCTTCCAGACTAAATTTCGGTCACAACGGCCAGTCTCAACGGAGACTAGCCATTTGCGTAGGACAGAATTATAGTGCCCAAGTGTATGCGCAAGCACAGATTCACATTATATTTCCTCACTCTCACAGTCCAATGGGACGGCAATACGAGACGACCGGAGAGGTAGGATGCAGGACCACACCACCAAATTTCAGAATCCGTTGTACTACTGATAATTTCTTGATAAAAAAACTCAAGCTATGAAACAAAATCCTTTCCTACACAGAAAAATATTATGAAAAAAGTTAGAAAAACAAATATTTAGCGCTGCTTCCACGCAATTGGTCAAAATTCAACTACAGATGATACTGGTTCACTTTTCACGTTATTTTCTTTCTGTTTCGCCATAGTGATGTGCGTATTAGGCAGCAAGTGTATATCGATAAATTTTAACGTTGTGATTTTTAACTAGTAGAAAAAAGTTTTGCTAATATCTACAAAAAACCATTAGGCAATATAATTAATTTTATATTAAACATACAAAATAAGCTTTATTTGATTACGATTAAAATAAAACATGTTACCGTTACAGCCTATCAAAAGTCAAATGCTGTGAACATAGGCTTCCTCCAAAGATCGCCTCGTAAGCAAAGATTTAAATAGTTAGATGCGCCTTCGCCTTGGAAAACTGTGGCATTATTTTTGAATGTGTTCGTTTGCAAGACGCTGACGCGTGCACGCTAATGCAATAGTGTCATCTCTTATTATCTTACAGAAATTGTGTATACTACTTTCTCTGTCACACAAATGAGCATTAATTGCGAAAGTGTGAGCTCACTCATTTGAGAATGGACACACTTCGGAGTGGTCATTCTATGGTAAGGGCGCATCTAACTATTAAAATCTTTGCTCGTAAGAGGAATAAATGCCATAGTGTAATAACTTTGGCAAGCGGGTTGGCAAACTGCAGTTTTTTTAATATTTTTATTGTTATTAGAATGACGTTGTTGCCCATCTAACTGTTTGTTTCCTGTTATCACCTCTTACAACATCCAAGTCCGCCACGACACGGTCCAAAAACCACTATGTATATTAAATTATTCATGTTCATCTATGTCATCCGTGTCACTTTCATTTTCCTGGAAATTTATTATTAAAGGTCGAAGATTTTTACAATTTATAGACCGCTCGTAAGCAGGTAGCAAATTATCAATATTTCGCAAGTCGTTTGCACACGGACGCGACGATTCAGATGATGCGAGTATAACGGAAGTTATTATACCACTAATGTAGATAAAAAAGCGATAAGTAAGAAGTTACTCTCTTTTTATAAAATTAATAATAACCATGAAGCACTGAATAAAAATCTATGTGTACGATCATATATTTCATACTTTGTGTAATGAGTTGTGCAATAAGCATCTCCCGGTTCTGCAGCTCTTTCCGTAGTGCGTCTGCATTGCTGTCATTCTCTGTCCGCACACCTTGAGACAGTAGCTCCACCTGTTTTTATTTGAAATTATTTAGTAATTAATATTATATTGACATTATCTATTATGAAATTTATAAAGTTACACACATAACATTCTATAACGTAACTATACTGTAATAAACTTCAGTCCTTATTGAATTATGCATGTGCGCAAACATGCGTGCGTAAGTAATTTCACTTATGCCTAGGCCACACACATCGCGATAGAATTCCGGAGATAAAACTTCGCCTTCGGCCTACGGCTAAGTTGTCTGGCCTCACTGTGCGTTGTAAAGTTTATCGATAGTTTATCACGATAAACACAAAATGGATGCCGCAGTCGCTCTATATTATATGGCATCGAATAATTATTTTTACTACGTTTTTAGCAACAGCGGACTGGCTTTAGACGCCTGCATTATTTATTCAAAATGACTCATCAAATTATATATCTTTTCATTACTTCAAAAAATTGTCACTGTCGAAAATACGCCGCAAATCCTAATTTAATTCTACACGTCCGCCACGCACGATGTCTGTGGGCCGCCAGATGTATGGCCGCTAGACATGCGTCAGATATATCAAAACGAATTTAAAATCTGATTTCAAATACAAATCGATTCGTATCAATTTCTCAAACTAGAAAATCTGATTTCAAAAATCGACCTAACTAAGCTTAACTCTTACGATCTGTATCAGCAAACGAATCCGAATCGACAGAAAATTGACCATACCCAAATCCAATCGCAAACTGTTACATAGCAATCCACTTTCTCAGTTTCTTTCTTTCAAATTAAATATGACATAGGGGAATTAAAAGGATGGCGTGAATTTTGCGATTCAGATTTCGGTTTGTCGGCTATTGAAATCTATTGCACATTGAAATATGCGAAGTCTATATTTGCTTTGCGAGATTATGCGTTGATGAAATTTTGGTTCCGTGTTTGGGTGTTTGCTTGCTAGAATCTTTGAAATATGCAATCAATGTCGTTCTTATTAATAAGATGTTAATGACTATATTTGCAAAATTGTCTGATGATTTATTTTTGTTTTTAGTGTTTGTTTACTAGTAATAATCTTGTTTTCGTTTAGATTCTTTGACCTTGGTGACAAGTGCGCGCGTGCCAGTCAGTTGTATCAATGAATTACAGGATATTTACTGATGTTTATTGCCCGTTTGTTTAGTAGAGCTGAGAGGAAAAAATAGTGACAGTAAATGTAATAATTCGCAATGGTGGAGATCATAAAATAATTTATCTGCATTTGTAGGGAATATATCGCACAAAATGCATTTATCTAAAGTCTTCAAAAGTGGAGCAAATTGCATTTTTAAATCTTACTTCAATTAGATTCGAAAATGAAAAAATAAAACAAAATAAAAAACAAAACAAAAAACATATTAAGAAATCATTGTAAATATGCCAATTTTTAAATGAGACGAAAAAGTTTTAATTCCATACAAAACTTTTCTGGTAGTCCTAAGCCTAGATTAAAGCATGAAGGACAATCGCACAAATCTGTTTCTGTAATATATTTGCGTTTGTAGTTTCGTAAACTTATAAAACGAAATCTAAGTAAGCAAACGAATTGGCGTTGCTAGGCGCTACTAAGTTCGGATTTTTAAAAACGGATTTTGAAATCTGAAATCGGATAAATATCGGTTTGCGATCAAATCCCATTTCTAATGGCCGAACAAAAGAAGTTCATCGCGATAAAACGCTTTGAGTGCGAATTTACCGACAGCGAAGCGATGTGCTTGCGCCTTCGCACGAAGTATTCACGAATATGTGGCCACATACGCGATGCGCGTAACATTTTTTTTTACGTAATCACTGCGCTACGGAGCCGTTAACGTAATCTAGTATTCTACACTCAAAGAGGATATAATCACTATATCTAACTATTCTTGAATACAAAAGAAACCATAGGATGTGTATAGTATAACGTTGTCATCACTTTTATAATAAAATCAAATAGATATTTTTTTTGTTTGGCATATTTTTCTTTGTAAAGTATATTATAATAGTTATTTATTAAACGACTTCATAAAAGGAGGTACTCAATTCGACTGTACTTTTTATGTGTGTTATCCATAGAATACTATAATACACAATAGAATGGCTGTGAAATTTATTTTGTACGAGGATTGGCGTCGCCAAACCCGATTCGCTGTGTTGACAACCAGAATAAATTTACACATTTTAGGCTTTTGATTAATGTTCAAGATCATCATTAAACAAATCGTTTAAATTTTAATACATATTAATTTGTAAATAGGGTGCAATTTGGCATTTTCTAAATAATTTGTGCATGCGAAATTTGGAAACGATTGTAAAGTCAAAAGACATCTTGTGTTGACATTTATACGTGTGAATTGACGTGTTAGTGACATTTTAGTGGCTACGCGGGCTCCGCCCACTCCCCCGTTCTATTATGTATGTATTATAGTATTCTATGGTGTTATCTCAGAACTTTTTTCTAGGTGAACCGATTTTGAAGATTCTTTTTTTATTTGAGAGCTGGTGCCTCTTGTGTGGTCCCATATAAATTTGATCAAGATCTGACTTGTAGTTTTTGAATTATCTTTAACAATGCGTATTTAATTGACTTCGACTACATTGATGATGTTCTTATTATTTAAACTGAAGTTGGTTGTACAAAATTTTTCTTTTTACCACTTGTTAATAACGGTGTCATCCTATTATATCCTCCTCGGATTAGAGTAGTGGGTAGTGTGACGAAGGTGTGGTAGGTTGGTGTCGGGGTAGTGCGGCGGTGGTGTTGCGGTGCGATTGTCCTCATGGTAGATGCATAAGAGAGTCCATTTCGTTTCGTTGTTATCATATATGACGATTATGAGAAATACTAGTTAAATATTATGGCTACCGGTTAGTGAGGTTATTACAGGGTATATTATTGAGTATTATTGAGTTATACGTTTAAGTAAGGCAAAATACTCAGATAGGACGGGAAGAAACGTCAAACTTGCGAGATGTTTGACATTGCGATCGTCAATCCACTTGTCGAGCGCAACGATTAAGGTTGTGTGGTGGTGCGGTAGTGTGGTGACAAGATGGTTTAGTGGCGTATTAGTTTGGTATTATGGCGGTGTGAATGTGTAATGGTGGCGTGGAGGTGGGTTGGTGGGTTGGTGTGCTGGTATATTGGTGCGATGATATGTTGGTGTATTGGTATATTGGTGTGTTGGTATGTTAATGTGTTGGTATTTAGATTTGTTAGTGTATTGGTGTGTTGGTGTGCTGGTGTGTTGGTGAGCGGCGGCATGGCGGTATGACCTGGTGCTTGAGCGCGCGGTTGAGATCGTGCAGGCGGCGGGCGTCGGCCTGCAGGCGCAGGCGCGCTGCGCGTTCGAGGCGCTCGCGGCGCTCGCAAGACCCCACCAGCTCCTCGTGCGCGCTGCGCACCTTCTCCACCTCCTCCTCCAGCTGCACACCCGCACACCTTTTCGCTCACTTCATAATATTTTACAAGGATAAAATGCTTAGAGACGTATTACCATACCATAGTTGAAAGTGCAACACGCATCGGTTTACAATCATATTTTTTATTTCACTGTAATTTTTCATTCAATACAGCTTGCTGCTGCTTGCTCCACTGCTGAACATAGACCTCTCACATAGATTGCATCATAGAGGGTTACAGGGAATACTTGTCATTTTTGCCACGCATGGCAAACGGGTTGGTAACCACAGTTTTTTTTAATTGAGCAGTTTTAAGGACATACACAGCACTAAATTTTGGAACCGTCACCGTGTAGTGGTGGAGTCAGAGAACCCAGGCGACAGACAGACACTAAAACAGGCGATGCACTGCAGCATCTTAACAGCTCAATATCATAAAAAAGTGGTAGCCAACAAGCCTGTTTAGCGTGGAAACTACGGTTAAACCCCCTATAGACTAATGCAATTTTGATACAATGTACTGAATGAATGAATATTTTCGACAGTTTAACTAATTGTAAATAAATACTGTGGCCTATAGACACCTTTATCTTTACTTAATTAAAAATCAAAATATTGAACCATAATTACCTGATGATGTGAAAAATAAATAGAATACCTTAATACAGTGTAACCTTAATATAACGTACCTAAATATTATAACGCCTTCCTAGATTTAACAAATTCTTCGTAATCCCCTTGAATTGTCCATAAGTGTCAATGTAAAATATTGCGAACCTTTACATTGCGAACATTTCTTGCGAACAACCTCTTTATAACGAATTTTAACTATCAAGAAAAAGTGTAAATACCTCTAATTAATGAATTTTGTCAACGTAAGACCTTTATATAAAGTTTAATAGTAGAAGTTATGAATAAAATTGTTATTTTACCTCTCTATAACAAATTTTAGACCAACCTAACCTCAACATAACAATCCTCAGTTAAACGATTTACTTAATATAACGAATATTTATTTGTTTCCTTCCAATTTGTTATATCAAGGTTGCACTGTATCACTAAAAAGGGTCCGATTCTCTACACTCGTCATATGAAACACATCAACATTAAGCTGCTATTTTTCGCAAGTATTCTGCGAGAGCTAAGTCATCCCTGATCGAGTTGACCTATTCCTGCTGCACCCATAACATGCAAGTATGACTACCAGGTATAAATTAGGATTTACGAAAGTGTCATTAAACCTAAGACGAATCCAAATTAGCCAGTCAGGAAGGATTCTGAAATCCTGTCCGGCTAATTATTAAGAAGTAGTGTGGCTAGTTAGTTGTGATAGTCTACTTGGTCTAGCGATCGTAAACATTAACATGACGTCCCGGGTCAGGCTAAGAACTAAGTTCTGTCAAAAAATTTTCAGCAGCAGACTGGAGTCAGGAAGTTGATGATGTTTAACACTTGTGTCTCGGAAAGCGCGTAAAGTGGTCCGGCGTGCAATCTATGTCCGGATGCCGGTTCCATCGGCCATCGAGGAAATAGAGTGTACCTGAGCACATGGTTATTCTCCGTTAAGACTGGCCGCAGTGACCGATATTCGGTATGGTGGACATTATTATTAAATATATACTTAATAGAACATAGGTAAATAAATAGATACAGCTCAACCAGATGGAAGCTTTCGGCAGGGGAGACCAAACGGTCGAATCAGAGTCGGAGGGAAAGGAAAAGAAACTTGAAGACGATGCGGACATTATCTAGGAGCACAGCCTTCTACATATGAGCATAGAGTGGTCTGCCACGGAGTCCCAGTCAGTTAGGGGGAAAGGAAACAATCGGAGGACGATGTGGGCATTATCCAGGAACACCGTTTTTTTCTTCATATGAATCCAGAGTGATCCGTTACGGAGTTTTAATGGCCTCAGTTGACCGAAAAGGCTGACCGGGAAACAACTACAAGAATAATTTCGGTCGGGAGACCACCCGACATGTCGGTCACCTCGTGAGCCAAGACCAGATATTTTGTTCACATATTAGTATGTAATATTTGTCTTAGTGTGGCTAGTAGGTAGAAGCTGTGGCGCACCTTGGTGGTCTTGGCGACGCGCTCGCAGGCGTCGGCCAGCTGGCGCTTGAGCTGCTGGTTCTCCGCGGCGAGCGCGTCGAGCACTGCCGCGAAGGCGTCATCAGGCTCCTCCAGCGAGCCCTCGCCGCCGCTGCACCAGCCGCTCGACTCCGAGCCACCCGGCGCCGCGCGCACGCCCACGCCCGCGGCCACGCCCACGCCCACGCTGCCACCGTCACACCATACAACACTATCAATTTTATTCAATATACCTTATAATAAATTAGTACATAATATATAATTCAAGGTAAACTGAAATCATGAAATACTTATCCACATGTAAAATTATTTAAAATACTTAGACCTGAGTCAAAAATACGCGACTACCAAGAAGGTCTTCTGGTTAGATATCACCATCCTAATAACTTGAGTCTATAATAAGAACCAGCCAAGAACTGGCAACTTAGAAAATATGATCGAAACCATAATTGATTCACCGCAAAAAAGTAAGTCCACAATGCTCTTTTTCAACCGACTTCAAAAAGGGAGGAGGTTCTCAATTCGACTGTACTTTTTATTGTGTGTTACCTCAGATATATTTTCTAGGTGAACCGATTTTAATGATTTTTTTTATCTGAAAGCTGGTGCTTCTCATGTAGTCCCATACAAATGCAATCAAGATCTGACCAGTAGTTTTTGGATTACTTTTGATAATGCATATTTAATTGACTTATTGAAGTTGTTGGTTGTTGGGTTGTACACAATTTTTAATTTTACCACTTGTCCTATATTATTATCAAAAAATGGAGCGAGATTTTATTATAAAAAAACGGGTAAGTGGATGCTGTGGCCCATACACATTACAACTATCATTGATTAAGAAAAAAATACATATTCATTGTCACCCCTGAGGACTATTACAGAGTGCCTCGTTTACAGTAAAAAGGGTTCTCTTATTCGCTACACTCACTATACGACACAGCAGCATTATGCTGCTATTCTGTGAGAGCATGGTGCTTCTCCAGTCGAACCACCCATTTGTGCTACAACCATAATATAGCTGCAACATGGCTCTACCACATATACAATACAGCTTGTTACACTGTTACAAAGTAACACGAACCTGGTCAAATCGGGTTGCGACCTGGACAAACTAAGCTTCTCCTTAGTGAGCTTTTCCTTAGCAGCGTTACGGTCGCGTGGGTGTCGCGGGGAAGCGGGCGGGGTGGGTCCACGGGGCGTTGGAGACTGCGCCACTTCCTTTGCTAGGTGCTTCAGCACGGACGACTGGTTCAGGAAGTCGTCCGGGATCTCCGTGATCTCCTAAATCACATATTATTAATATTTTTACTAGTGCCGTTATGATTTATTGCAACCCTATATGGAAACTCTTGAACAGAGGCTTGCCTAATATCTGCCAGGAACCATGGTTTTGAGATACCTACAGCCATCGACTGACATATCAAGTCTTCACTGCAAATATACATTGTTCATCATAAAAATTCCAGCTGATATATTGATAAAACATACACCTACACATTTTGAAATTCCATAGTAGAAGTCATAAATCAATGGAAACATTAAAATTTAGTTTCTGTAATTAAAATGTTACCTTAAAACGCAACTTTTTAATGTTGGAGTGGGATCGCCCTGTATCACGCTTCCCTGTACAAAGCTGCCCTTTTCACTTTTTTATAGGTTAGGGTGAAAAACGAGCACACAGTCCACCTGATGGTAAGTGGTTCCTGTGGCCCATAGTCATCTACATCTATCCTCGATTACGAATGCAAATGCAGATGCGTTGTCACCCATGAGGACTAAGATAGAATGCCTCGTTTCCAGTAAAAAGGGTATCCGGTTTTCTACACTCACCATACGAAACAGCAGCATTAAGCTATTATTTGACGCTGGTATTCTGTGAGAGCGTGGTTCTTCCCCAGTTGAGCCGTCCCATTAATGCTACAACTATACTACTATTATAACTGTAGCATGACTTTACTACTGGAAACGTCCAGTAAAAAGGTTCTCTCACCATACGAAACACATGCATGCATTAAGCTGCTATTTTACGCTGGTATTCTGTGAAAGCGTGGTCCTTCCCCGGTCGAGCCGACCCATTCGTGTTATAACTATACTACTAATATGACTGCAGCATAGCTCTACCACGTATGATAAATCACTTTCCAACGAATGTCTATTCCATGAGCTATAGCTATGTTATGCTATATATATGAGTAATATAGTATAGCTATAGTATATGGTCAGCCCATCTGAGCTTACTAATTCTCTAAGCAGTTGGTTACACCGCTTATACTGCAGGTATCACTGTAAAAATCAGATTAGATTACGATGGGCTATTTTCCGAAAATACACATCCGGAAAGTGACACTCCATAGTTTGTTAATAAGTTTAAGCTTAGGAAAGCCCTAATGCCATCATACATACATAAATTATGATATTGAAATTATTCATATTCAATTTCTTACAGTATTCTTAAAATATTGCCTTGTAATTAGGGTTGCTAAAGCGAGAAAACAGAACAGTATTTTTTGTAATTTTCCCTAAAACCATCATAATAATTTTAAATTTTGCACAGAGATAGTCATTTCGCTCTCCTATTAGTTGCCAATTTCAATTTTGATATTAAGGGTTAATTTCGAGAACTATCAATTGCTGTCAGTTATCCTCGTTAGAACTCAAAAAAGGCTCAAACGATTTTGATGAAATTTTTTGCGTGCGTTTGAGTGGGTCCATGGATAGTTTATAATCATAATTAGACCCAGTAGGTGGCGCTGTTGTCGAGATTCAGAAATCACCCGCGCGAAGCCGGAGCGGATTGCTAGTACGGAATAAAAAAGAATTATTCTTTTTTTTGTTTTTATAAAATGTTACCTGCCCACTAGGATTTTCTCCTGTATCGTGGCGGCAGTTCACAAACATAAATTTCACAAGGATAAACATCCAGACCCGAAACAATTACTTGTATACCAAACAAATACTTGTTCCGAACGGGATTCGAACCCGCGGCCCATAGCGCTGTAACTCATTGCTAATCCACTGCGCCATGGAGCCATTACAAAGCCATTATGTGTAGATTGCCAAATAAAAACTCAATGAAGAATATGTCACACATTTATCATGTAATAGCCATGTAAGAAAATCACCAACACTCCATTTCATCGCATAGGTGACGTAAGAAGCGACTATGGAAATGCCGAAAAGATCTTATGGCTTCTAACAGAATTGAAATACCTAGACTAACGACGAGGAGCAGCGTTAAGACAATTGTGGTACCGTGATCGTAACCCGCCTGCTAAGGGTAACAAATCCCTAGAACGGAAAAGGTCTGCATTTTTTGAAAGTATTTTTAGGAAAAAAGTTATTAATATTTACTTGTACTCCATGATCAGGCGGGCTTGTGTAGATCCTTTGTCCACCAATATCAATATAGTTGGCATTGGTTGTCACTGCTTGCTCCTTGTGAGCTTTAGGCAATGGTATGCCACTCAGCTTCTTGCCTGCTTCGCTTTTCTTCAATGTATGGTATGGTGATGATTGCGTATTTGAGTGCTTCACCTCGCTGTTTGTTCGTTCGTGTTCACTACGATAAAAAAGAAGAACTAGGTCACCAGTTTTTTTCTTATAAGTTAATCAAAAACTTATAAGAAAAAAACTGGTAAATAAATATATTAATAGTTCTTTGCAACCATCCGCTAAATAAAATCAAATGATGTGTCTTACCTAGTTTGAAGAGCACCTCATTTGATTTTATTTAGCGGATGGTTGCAAAGTAAGTATTAATATCTTTATTATAATGGATTTCCGCAAAGTAACACCTGATTCTATCAATTACACATAATGTGATGATAGAATCAGGTGTTACTTTGCGGAATGGGATCGTGTCGAATTGACGTCGTATTGGATTACGAGAATGAGGAAATATGAGTGTACCAGTGCTTGCGCACACACTCCAAAGCTATGTATCTGTGCTGCGCAGATGTCTAGTCTCTGTTAAGACCGAACGCCGTAACCAAAAAGGAGAACATTAATATTATTATTATATACACATGAGGGGACTGACTCATTTTCTCTCTTGTGTTAATATTAAATGCGCCACTCCTCGACAGTATTAATACCATCATAAACATAACGTGTAAAAAAAAAACAAGTCTCGCAACTCAGTTCTTCTACCGTAAAAAGTTGTGAGATCCATTTAATACCAAGTTGGCCAATTTATTCAGTCCCTACTTGAAGTTTCTTCTGTTTTAAGTTATTCCGTAATTAGCTAACCCAACAACATATTATAGTGACGATATCAATAATAAAAATCTTTTATGTTTTAAATAAATAGATTGACTTAGGCCATCGCGTGAAAACATTGTATCTCACAAGTAATACATACGAGTATTATATTAGATTGTTTAGTACGATTGCCAATTACGATATCCGGTGCTCTGATATGGTGGACCAAGACAAATGAAACCACTACCATTAAGAAGCTTCAGCGTTACCAGAGACTGGCATGTACGACTGCCACAGCCTGCATAAGAACTACACCAACAGCAGCCTTAGAAGCTATGCTGGAGTTAACCCTGCTTCACCAACACATACAACAAAAAGCGAATTTGGCTGCCATTAGAATCAATTATAGGAATTATAGTTGTAGCACGAATGGGTCGGCTCGACCGGGGCAGGACCACGCTCTCGCAGAAAACCAGCGCAAAATAGTAGCTTAATTCTGCTGTGTTTCGTATTGTGAGCGTAGAGAACCGGAGACCCTTTTTACTGGAAACGTGGCATTCCATGTTAGTTCTCAGGGGTGAAAACGCATTTGCATTTTGATTCTTAATTGAGGACAAATGTGGATGTCTATGGGTATAGCACCCACTTACCATCAGGTGGCCTGTGTGCTTGTGCAACCAATGATATAAAAAAAATAATTGACAGAATTTACTCCAAAATGCCCATCTTACAAGCCAAATATGACAAGATCGCTAAACATTTTGTGATTGATAAGAAATACAAGATATAATTAAATGAAACTAACCAGCCAGAGGGCTTAAACCCAAAAGAACTCCGAATTTTTACGGATGGTTCTAAAACAAATGAAAGTACAGGATCTAGGACATTCTTGGAAGACCTCAATATACACATATGTACACCATTTGGTACCCATAATACAGTCTTTTAGGCAGAATGTATGGGAATCATTCACGGCCATAACAATAACTGCTAGAAAGGTAAAAGAATCCTCCATCAGAATACTGATCGACAGCATGGCGGTACTACAAGCTTCTGAGTTGCAATGTGGTAAGCTTGGGAATAATGTATGAATACCATCAACAAATAAACAAGTTATGTAAACACAACGTGACTCTGCAATGGATAAAGGGGCAAAGTGGATCCAGAGGCAACGACAGAGCAGACGAACTGGCCAGAAGAGGATTGAATCTGACCACTACAGAACCAGAACCAAGCATACCAATTTTGTAGCATTAGCAAATTTGGTAGCATTCATTCGCATAGCAAATTTGGTAGCATTCATTCACTGATACTTAGAAACTACACTAATCCTGAAATCCCTGAAATAATCATTTGTTTAAACAAGGTTCTAATGAAATTGAATAAGCCACAAATCAGAATATTAACAAGTGCTATTACAGGACATGGCTTCTTTAATAAACATTTATTTAACATAGGTGTTACAGATAGTCCCCTGTGCAGGACATGTATGGGGGAGGAGGAAACGGCGGCCCACGTGTTGCTGACATGTCTGGAGGTCACTGCATACAGAGCTAAACATCTCGGAACGCTGGGATCACTCCCCGAAGTGGCTTGTAACATCAAAGGACTGGTGAACTTCTTCGGGAGATTTCATGGCTTGAATAGTTGCATTATTCCCGCCCGCCCACACGCAAAATATGCGCTTAGACATCGAGCTGCTGATATAAGATAAGATAAAGATCTTATCTCATATCAGTTCAAAATATAAAAACTGCAGTTGTCTACCTGCCTGACATGGCAGCTATGGCAAAATTTTCCCTATAAGGCATATATTCTGTATTGACTTTATTTTCTGGTTGCCTACAGGACTCTTTGCTGAGATTGAAATTTCCAGAACAGAAAAAAAATCCATAGACTACGCATTGATTTGACGTATGTGGTTTATACCTGTACCATGCAAGTCGTTGATAATGTATGTCGAACCGTATTCTAAAATTACGTCCAAACAATAATTAACAACAATTTTTGAAATACGACGTCATAGGCTTAAAATTAGAATAATTTGAATTTGTAATTCCAGGTCAAATACAAGATATTGATGGTAAAAGGCCAGCCGTTTTATTTTAGGCCAGCCCTAATCTTGCTGATCTAAAACTGAATTTAATTGGTAAGGACCAAATTTACAAACCGTATAGGCGTTGGTCGAGTTGGCCATGAGTCATCCTGATTATGAATTATCAATGTGTTGTATGATGAAGATGATACATCTAATGAACTCCGATTACTGTTGCCACCTCCTACAGAATCCTTTAAAGAGTTACGGTTGCTCCCTGCCACACTTTCCTAAAATAAAAATAAAATATATTACAATTCGTTTATGAACACATTTAATTAATTAGTATAATTACTACATCCATATGTGATGAAATTAAGTAAGTGCAATTTAACACCTATAAGTGCTTGAAAATATAATTCACCCGCTCTAAAACACCTATAGCACAAACTATGTGGTTGACACTTATGAAGAGTTACAGAAGTGTGGGATGTTGGTGTTCAAATGGATGGCGGACTAAACTTTTGTGTTCATGTTATTAATATCTGCAAAAAAGCATATAGGAATCCAGGGTTTGTTCTTCGCCAAATAAATAATTTCACAAATGTTAAAGCAATTACTGTATTATACAATGCCTTGGTCAGAAGTCATTTGGAACACAATGCAATTGTTTGGTCCCCACGTGAAGTTAAGTATATGCTAATGTTAGAGAGGGTACAGAATAAATTTGTGAGATATCTGTATATGAAAATTTACGGCGTTTATATATTTATAAGGTACTCATAGCGAAAATATTTAATTTTGACATACTAAAATAATTAAATATGTATGTACGTGGTAGAGCCACACTGTAGCTATATTATAGTTTTAGCATGAATGGGTCGACTCAACTGGGGCAGAACCACGCTCTCACAGAATACCAGCGTAAAACAGCAGCGTAATCCTGCTGTGTTTCGTATGATGAGTGTAGAGAACCGGAGACCCTTTTTACCGGAATCGTAAATGTGGATGTCTATGGGCCACAGCATCCACTTAACATCAGGTGGATTATGTGCTCGTTTGTCACCCAATGCTATAAAAAAGACGACGACGGGCACAACTGTTTACCGTGCCGAATGGAAGGACAAACCTTATGCGTCAGGTGCCCCTTACACATGCTCTCAGCACACTTAATTTGATAGCGAGAGAAATAGACTAGTTTTGAAGTCACCTGGGTGAGTTCACAAAGCTAGTGTTATACATTATTTATTATGTACATAATTTAACTTTATTATTATATATATAAAGATAATTGCATATAATAATAATAGCACTTACACTATTATATTAGGATAACCTGTAAAGATAGTTGTAAGTGTTGAAATAAATAAATAAACAGAAATAATAATATAAACAAGTGGTAAAATTAAAAAAATTGTAGAACCGACTTCAATACAACCACATTAATGTATTCAAAATCAATTATATACGCATTATTAATGATAACTTAAAAACTACTAGTCAGATCTAGATTAAATTTATATGGGACCATACGAGAAGCACCAGCTTTCAGATAAAAAAGGAATCATCAAAATCGGTTCACCCAGAGAAAAGTTATGAGGTAACACACACAATAAAACATACAGTTAATTTGAATACCTTCTCCTTTTTGGAGTCGGTAAATAGCTGAAGAATAAACAATGTAACAAGTGTGATATAGTGCAAGGGTAAGTATAATTACTCTGCATTCAACAATACGCTTGCCCATTTTTTTAGTATTGGATCACATTTATAATTTCAATTTTTTAATGATTAAACTTAATCATATTTGAAATATTTTGGTAGTTTCTGATAGTAAATATGTGTTATGTGCGTTAATGATGCATTTTAGTTACATTTTTTATTTTATTGAATCAAGCGACTTTAGTTTCACTTGCAGTTAAGTAAAAACTAAAAGTACAGTCATAATTTAGTGATTCTTTTATTCATCCTACACCAATAATCTGTTTTCTGTTACTTATTTACATTCTTGAAAAATCGCTCAAAAAAAATGAAGATTAATGTTACTTGAGGGACTTAAATGAAAAATATTACTCGAATAACACTCAATATGCATTGTAGGAATAGGTCATTTCAATGTGCATTACTTTTCACATTATTATATCAATTTATTATGTTACAGTCAAAAGTTGAGATCTTCAATTTTCAAATTGTTCATCAGAAATCTTAGAAGCAATTTTGCTACATATGCAATTATTTAATTTTCTTTTTTAGAATCACAACAGAGCTTAATATACTAAAAGTGCTTTATTTCGGATAATTAAGAAAATATAGTTTATTACCTTAAGTGAGTTTCTGTTATTTCCATTGTTATTGGTCTGACTTTGATTTTCTTGACCCTGTGGTTCAACTCTAGCTGTATGACGTACAACATACCGCTCCTCTCTGGATAAATTCTCATTAGATGTTGACACATCAGTCTCACTGCCGGACAGGCTTTGTGGAAAGCCACTAGAAACTGCAATTAAGTTCATAAGAACTAAATTGATTGGCAACAAATGTTTTGTATAATATCAAACATGTATAAGGTCAAAAGCAATTTTATGTCCTAGTCTTGGTCATAATTACTTTTAAATAATATATTTTAGTCAAATTCTCACTTTTACCAATATTTTTTTCAGTCAAAACTTTGCCTAAACTTCTTTTGCCATAATACTTTTGTTTGTTTTTGTCGGTCACAATGGGTAATTTTGTCTATCCACCCTAGGGTGGATACTCGGAAAGGCGTGTTCATCTATCTATTGGAATTCGGATATATTATTTTTCTTCCTATTTTCTACCTTGGCTATGTACAGTCATTTATATTTCTATAAATGACTGTACATAGCATGATAAAAACTAGCACAAGATACTTAGTAGACATTACCTATAAAAATATAAACATACTTCTTGGAATCTTGGCATAAAATAATTTAAAATGAAGTTAAAAACAAAATTCCATCCATTCCAGTGATCGCTACCAAGCTATTTCTAATTTGTCTTGTGTTGTTAATTGTAAACATAATTTTAAGCTATTATTTGAAAAAAAAAAATAGTCCCACTGGCTTTCTTGCTGGTTCTTCCCAGGACAGAGGTTTTTTTGCGAACCAGTGGTAAATGAAAAAATTGACTTTCAATTAGTATTGTTTATAATCTACATTGAATAAAAAAGTTTCTGTTTCTGTTTCTGTTTCCAATTGTAGTTTTTGGAATGCTTGCAAAAAGACACCCAGTTCTTCGCTAACACATCTGTGGTAGAAAAGGAATTTACAAAATGATTGCAAATGTACATCAAAAGTGATAAATTAATCCAGGATATCAAATTACATCTACTCAATAATAAAATTAGTGTTGGTAATTACCTGGACATATTGCAGAACTAATAAAATACACAACAATATTATTTAAAATGAGGAATATTAATATGATTTAAATGCAATATGTAATGCATGGACTTTAATTGGCTGTAACAGTAAACACATAATAATTTTTTTATAAAGTTTGTGGTTATTAAAAATTTATTAATAATTAATGTGTACGTGTTTGAACTGTACTAGCGGCAAAGAGGCTGAATAAAAAATATAAAACGAATTCCAATCAACCACCCCATCTGGGGTTGACAAATGAACATGCATTTCCGAGTATCTACCCAAGGGTGGATTTGTTATGATGGATAATGGAATAACCCATCAAAATTAGTTTATTACATATTTACTGTGCCACACTTATAAATTTATTATTTATTATTTTAATTGCAACATACAAAAATGATGATTTTTAAATTTTATCTAACCCCAACAAACCTGATTGAACTAAATGCAACAAGTCAAATGTGTACGCATATGTGTGTATTATGTCAAACAAGCAAGATTATTAAACAAAATTTTGTTCTACTTATTCTGGAAAGCGATGTGTTTTCGAGCACTGAAACTTTGTACATGTTAATAAAAAAGTAGATCTTTCAAACAATCGAGTCGTTTGAAAGTGCTAACTTTGGGTAGTTAATCTAAAGATGAGAGCCATTTTCATTATTACTATCCCAAATGATTTCACTGATTATTATTCTTTGAATACTATCAAAATTTTCAATTCAGAAAGACACATTATATAGTAGTTTCACAAGTACACTTGCATTAAAAAACAGATGTACTATCTGCTTGTATGAAAAACATTAACATCCAAATCGATGAAATATTAGAACATTTTTGTAAAAACTAAAACATTACATAATGATTATTATTTATTTTTATATTTAAGAAAGCATTGATTAAGAAAGTAGAGAATTTACAAATACTTTCTTATTAACACCATAACAGCTTTATAATATTAATAATAACATTTTATTCACTCCTTTATAACATTAGAAACTTAACATATTATACAAAAGTTGTAATTTCAAAAACACTAATATAGTTTTAACTGAATTTTGGATAAGTTTTTCAATTTCTTCAAAATTAATTTAAAGCAACCAATCTCGGATCAGTTTTTTACAGTGTATCAGGAAAAGCAAGTAAATATCTTTAACTTTATTTGCCATGTTGTAAGGGCAAAGAAGGATATTTAGTTTACAAACTACAAATACTACTATTATTGTAGTATTTTTAAGATTAATTACAATAATATAATACTTTTATAATACAGTAAAAAACTCCTTATTCACGCTTCCCTTCATTCGCGTTTTCATTATTCGCGGTTAAAAAAATGCGATCCAATTTCTATATTCGTGGCTAAATATTTCTTTATTTGCGGATCTAATTGGTACATCGGTCGGTTCATCAACTTCAACAAGCACTGGAAACGTGACATTTAATTTGAAAAATCTTAGTGAAGGTTTAAGAATGGTAAATGAGTTTTGTGATTTCTTTATGAAAATGGATCCATCTATGGAACGAAATCTTATTTTTAAGAACAAATTGCTAATGCCACTGCCAAATATCAGTCTGAATTGGAGAATTTTTTATAAAACTGTCAAGCAAGAAAAAAAATTACAAAGTTCTTAAGCCATTGCCTAAGCTTGAAGATAAAAATTAATTAATATGGTCAAAAACTTAAATTTAATTGATTTTTTTATATATTTGTTTTTTATTTTGTCACCTAGGAATGTATCCTCTATAATCCCATATAAACTACCATTCCATATTCGCGGTTTTTGTATTCGCGACATATTTACGGAACATGTACCCCGCGAATAATGAGCTTTTACTGTACATTTTGGTTCACAGCTTATTTTTTTCAAGAAACACATGAATTAAAAAATTGGCTGAAGAGCACAAAAATCTTCTGATAACAAATAATAAATATTAAATAACATTAATTAACAATAAATGTGTGCAGTAAAACTCTTTTATGTACTTTCATTTTTGATTTAATCAAAGTAATAAATAAAAGTTTAATATAAGGAAAAAGTTGTCATTCATAATTATAATAGAAATTACGATTCATTATTAATATTGGTATTGTAATAGTTTCATCACTAATAAAACCCCAGAATTATTAATAAACATATTATTGATACTTAAATTATTGTTGTTAAATTTTATTTATTTACTTAATCAGGTTTATTGTTTTAGTTCATGGATGGACATACCAAGTAACCAAAATTTAAAAAAAAATTGCTCTTTTTGATTGATTATTTACAATAACATATTTTATTTTATATTGTTATTATATATCACAAGTTGCACAAAAGCTTCAGACAAAAAATTTACATTTATGAAACAACAAAATAATGCAACATAATACTAACAACAAAATAAAACAACAAAATAATGCAACAACTACAAATTAAGTTGTTGTCAGGTAATGATAATCCTAAAAAATACAATTTTAATAAACTGGGTTTTTAATTTAAATTTAATGATAAGTGGCAAAATATGCAAGATTTTAGTCTAAATTAAAACCTAAAGAAGTAACAAAATGTTAAAATCAAAAATTATGATTCATGGTATTGGAATGCTGAATCTATGTTCTACTTTGATATCAAAACAGTACTTACCTGGTTGTTTCTGTGTCCTCTGGATATTATTAGTGAATGAAAGAAACCGCCCTGTAGGGCGCATGGATCCCATGTTTCGTCTATAACCAAACGATTTCAACAAGAAACCATTTCATATAACATTCAAACGATTAATCAACTCACCTAATATACTATGTTAGTAACATCTGTAAGTTAAGTCACATCTGATTAGATACAGCTCTAGTGAATTGATATGAAATGTAATAAGAAAACTCGATTTCTTCGTATTGAAATCTAACGGAACAACAAAAACCTTTTTCAACTGATTGTAAGCTTGAATCGTAATAAATGTAAAGAATTCTCTTACAATGACTACAATTTTAATATAACAAGTATTGCTTTAATAAAAAGAAGCTTATATTGTTCATATAAATAAATAGGATTCAGTAAATTAAATTGTTTCAGTTTAATTACTCATAGTTGTGGGATTACTAACTTTAGGTTTAGGCTTTAGGCAAGGTTTGTGTAAAGGTGTAAATTGGTTTATAAATGAAATGAATGTAGAATAGCCAGCTGTCAATGTCAAAAATTCAAGAAAAAACTTTTTCTTTATTTGATGTTGAACTGGTACAAATGTTCTTTTGCCAGAATCAATAAATTATCCTTTATAATAATTTGTTTAAATAACTTCTTCACTATAAGTTAAACCCATCTTATTGTATTTTCCGGAGATTTCAAAGGCAGCTGGAACTAATAAACAGTCTATGACAATATTATCTGAAGGCTTAAGGCGCTTCAGGCAAAGATATTATTTTATATAAACAAAATTGTGGAGTGAAGATCGAAATGAGATGAATGGAGAATACACAATTGATTGTTGCAACCTTTTAGAAATTATTATTTTTATCTACTTCTCAAGGGAAGTCGAAAGCTTTTTTTTGCTTCATCTGAGACCTACTTTTAAAAGGAATTTATTAACCGATATTATTTTGTTGAAATGTATAAAATTATATTACAAAGTAATTTTATTAAATAAAAATTACCTATCCATAAAGTAACATTGTATTATTTATAATTTCTCTTTCAGTTCCCCTAAACCTGATGGAAATCTGGATAATTTAGTAGAATGGACCTTATATACGGAAAAGATCCTTCTTAGGGAAAAGATCCTTCTTACGGAAAAGATCGTCCTTGTTAATAACACAGAATAAATAATAGTACTACGTACAAAAGTTTCACTCTTTTGATGTTGACTGCTTACCGACGTTTAATAGCCTACATAATTATTATTATTAAGATAATTTGCGCACGCAAGCTAAATAAACCTTTATCGCTGTATTTATAAGGATTTGGCGCATTGAGGCGCTGTGGTGGATTCCGGGAACTCCCGTGTTCGATTTCTGACAGCGACAATTTGGTAGTTTATAAAATCTTTAAAACTATTTGTGTTTGTTTTTATTTGAGTATACGGTTTAATAATAAAAACTGCAATGTTAGCCCACTTTCATCTATGACTACTTCATCACCATTTGCCAGGCGCAATCGCAGTGAATACCATACATTTCAAGAACAACTCAATACTCAAGAATAATTTGTATTAGTATATAGGTATGAATAAGAATCATTAACCTCTCCAATTTCACGCTAATCTTCAATGGTGATTTGATTCCACATTTAATTAAGTATAATATGGGAACAGGCAATAATATCCGCACAGAAAAATAATAAAGTGATATTGCACCATATTAAAAACACATGTAAGTAGGTACTTATTAAGCTAATAATATGTATTATTATATGCTCATTTATCTACTATTTATGCACACTTCTATTTACGAATCTCCTTCACCAAAGCATAGAATAAATAATATGTAGACTACCTTACCAAGGTTTAGTGATGAGGCCACCTAATTGTACTTAAGTTTATAAATTAAGGTTGGTGTGTTATTGTAATGTGTTGTGTCCAATAAAGAGTATTAAATAAATTAATTATTACGTTGCGAAATTGTATGTAAAATAGGTAAGGTACCTATTCTGACTGATCGAATGAACACATTTTTGCAACTATGTGAATTCGGTGCCTAACGCATGCAACTTGCAAGGTCACTCGTCGCTAATTGCGATTTAATAAATCGCTCGGAAGAAACAGGTAGGTAATGTAAACAACAACAAATAAACCCGAAATACGATTCCTAAATGTAATGTGATTGTATTCTAATTTGTCAAAAATCTTGTAAACAAAGTTTTAATTTCAGTGCTTTGTGATAACTTAAAATATTTTAATTACAAAAGACATGTAAGTTACCTACTTAGATAGTGAAGTAAATTTCAACTAAGTTTTGAAGTAAAGTACTTAGGTATTACTTCTGTATTGAAATTATTACTTAACTACTTTTACGGATTTTATCGCGTTTATTTTTACTTTTTATTTTTAATTCCCGACGTTTCGGACGCTTTCCAGCACCCATGGTCACGGGGGACTGAGATGACTGACGTCCCGATGTCATTGTTAAACCCGGAGTACCTTCAGCTTTTTTAATTATTGTTTATGGTCCGATCTATGCAAAATGAACTGACTATGTCTTGAGGTCTTGCAGTGGTATGCTTGGGTTTAGTTTTAATTTTATTGATTATAGGATCCCAAGCAGGTGGTAGTACCCAGCCTCCTTCTCTATTGAAATTAGGATGTTTTTTAATTTCAATAGCCTCACGTATCATCCTTGGTAGGAATCGGTGTTCTTTCGCGAGGATTTGTGGTCTATCAAATCTGATGTAATGGTTGGGGCCGTCTAGGATATGATCACAAACTGCAGACTTCTCGGAACCTTGTGATTCGTTAACTTTTTTTTGCTAGTACTTTTCCAAATTTAATATGTACTCATTATCCTTAGGTACTTTTGTTTGCATAAGCATCCATCCACGCAACCATTACATGGTTCAAGTTTTGCCAAATTTAATAGTATAACCACAAAAATTACCCTCTTGATTTTTTTTGTATCTTTTCCTCGCTTTTTTTTTTATTTTTTCAAACAAAAACAAACATAAAAATTGAAATGGTGTGAACTGCCGTACATGACTTAGTGTATATGGACTGGGCATACCGTGACTACCTACAAAAATCTTGCACATAAAATGGCCGCCTTTTATAGAGTTGTAACTCTGCAATATGCGCAGCTGATATCGATATTTTAACTAATATGATTTTTTTCTCATTTTATATAATTGGATTTGTTGCTTAATTTACTTTATTTTGTAGGTATTTACATAGATACAGGGCTGAATTTTCAATCGTCAAATAACTTATCTGGCTAATAAATGTGACCGACAGATTTATGGCTTTTGTGTAGATAGAAATTAAATCCTTCTTTTGTGTTTATAGTATTACTGGGATGGTGATCCCAGATCTCATATTATTAATGTAAAATAATAATGATTAGTTGAGTAAAAATGAAATAAACTGTTTTAAAAATCAATACATATTTATTATTAATTTATCTGCACATAATTCATCACAAATATTATATACTATATTATTATTATTATTTATAACACGTGACGTGATTTAATTATGCTTCACAAAATTATTTTAATTTAAAAATCAATTGCCGTACGGTAGTTTTGCAAAAACTCAGAAATGCCTCTCAATTAAGAGTTACAATCAAATCAAATTTAGTTGGTTATCTAGTAACATAATGAAATATAAATAGAAGATACACCTACTATAAGATAAGATGAAGGCACTGCACTACACAACAAAAAACTTTTAGCATTCAACAGTTTGACAGCAGATCTACCACTAAACTCAGCACATAACATGGCGACGCAGTCACGCATGGAAGAGCTAATGACGTCACACGAAAGTGTTGTCAAAATAAGCAATTGACAAACTGTTGTTGTCTCCCTTTTCTAATGATGCTACTGCTTTGTTAAAAAGAAACAAAAGTATTTTTGACAAGTGTGTGTCGATGTTATAGATATTTGTATAACTATTATTTCTATAGTAGAATACGGCGCCTCCATAGGTATTATATCTCTATGGCCCGTACCCCCAAACGATAACGCATTCCTAAGCAACTTCAGGGCAAAGCACGGATTTGGTTCCATAGTAATTACTATATAAACTCAGAACAATAACTAAAGCATAGACGGATCCTGTCTATCAGCTATATATACATCTCTTTATTTTTTCAAAGTTTTCAGAAAGAGTTAAATATAGGTTTGGCAATAGGTACCAATGTACATTCGACAAACATCGGTTTGGATACCTTGGTTACTTTTATGCTACTACTTCAAAAAGAAAGATTTGAAAAAGTTTTTTGTCTATGGCTATGTTCATCTTAAATTGTTCGTATAATACGCTGGCTTGTCATAGGAGGCCGTGCAGAAAATTTATTCGATAGAGTTTAGGCAAAATCATTGCGGTGCTATCTTTGTGTGCATCGTTTACACGGCTAAAGACCGAGCGCAGTGCTCGCTTAAACAATTTCGGTCCTTTAGTTGATAATTATATTAGGATACATAGTAAGTACGGTTTAGAAATAAAAGACTGGGATGTTTTTGTATAATAGTTTAGTATATTTATTACAATCAACATAAAATGAAAATAAATAAGAAATGTGTTAGACAAATACACTATGCATATATATTTAAGTAATTCAATGTTTTCGTTCTGCGATGTCATTAATGTCTGCTAGAGAGTACAGACAAATTACCATGTCTTATTGGTATTTGACCGAAAATCAAACATCGTGATTTCATTAAAACAAAGTTTTTGTAAATGCAAAACATTTAAATTTAAATATTAGGCCGTATATGAGAAACGGAATGTTAAAGGGATAAATAAAATACAGAGCACGAGTGCGTGACGTACACGTCAAGTAAATACTTTGATTTTAAAATTGATAATACTCGTTTCTTTTATAATATTTACTCAATGTTTTGAATTTATTTTTATCTATGAGGGATGCAAAGAACACATTTTGGCAAAAATTAGCCGAACATGCTAAAGGATACTTGTATTTTCGATAAAACATTCGGCCTATTTAGTTTAAATCTATGTCCAATATCGGTTAAAATAAAAAACAATTAAAATGTTGTCTCTCTCAGTGGCATTGAGCGAGTTTTTCTTCGATCGACTATTTCTGGTAAAAGGCATGTATTGTAGAAATCTACGAGCCTTTTTTCCATCTTAGTCTTCCAAAAACTATCGTACCCTCAACTAAGGCATCTTTACCTTCCCTTGTCATCTTTACCTACCACTGACAAGTAATAAGAAAGATCATTTTTATCAGAAACTACTAATGGTAGATATTTCATAGACACATTAGTTGTTTCGTAATGAGCCAATGGTCACACAATTTTTTTTAATACTGGCAGCACTGTCAAATGACAAGTTATAAACGTTTGTTGATACTCACGGGACACTTGTCGCAGCAGATTCTGGTCGAAATTTTAATTGCGCTTGTGAATTCACTTAGCTGAGGTAAGCAGAATTGATACATATTATATATAACCTTCCTAAGAAGACGTAGAAACTGTTATAATGGTAATTTCTTAACAATTTTAAGAGAAATTTCCATAGGTAATGATAGTCGAGGCTAGGTAAAGTTGCCACAGTTTGTACAGTGGCGTCTTTACCTGTAGCTAGGGTTGTCACTATACTTTACCGGTCTCTATACGTAAATGTTTTACTTTTAGGAGGGCTTACAAGCTAATTAAAACTTACATAACAATATTAATACACTTATTCTAATAATAATAACAATGCAATTGTTTATACTTATCATTTCCATTTATATATTTATACAGCCCAACCAGATGAGAAAACTATTAAAATACTTAAATAATAAACATTTTGAAAAAAGATGTCAAAAGGAAGAGTATAAGAACCAAAAACCTCCAAGATAATTCTTCGGATTCGGACTCTGACTGCTCTGTACAGTATGCAGATTCTTCGGATTACAATTCAATTGAAGACATGCAGGATTACTTATTGAGACAACTGATAGAAGATCAGAAAATTGATGAAATGGAAAAAGGTGAACAAATGGCCTATTTGGAAACGAAAGGACATGAGATAGAAAGATTGAGAACGGAAAGTAATGTATGGATAGAAAACGAGATGTTAAATGACAAGGAGAAAGAAGAATTTGGAAAACAGGAAATACAGGAACAAATGAAAGAATTGGAAAAAAAAAGAGTATGAGATAAAAAAAACTTGAGAATAGAAAGTGATAATAGGCGAGTACAAGAGATGGTATATGAATATGACTTGGAGAAAATCGAATGTGAAATACAGGACACAGAGGAACAAATGAAGGAATTGGAAACAAAAGGACACGAGGAAGAAAACTTAAGGATAGAAACTGATGAGGAACGGACAGAATGTGGAAAAACAGATGGTAAATGAATATGAAATGGAGAGAGTCTTATGGGAAGACCAGGAAACAGTAAAAAAACTGGAAACAAAAGAACACAGAATAGAGAAGCAGGAAAGAAAACAACAGATAGAAAGCCTAATAATAGAAAACGATGAAAAAAAGGACTGAAGATAAAACGACCTAGACTAGAAGAGACTATGTCAGAAGAAGAGACTAAAAATGAACAAAATGAGAAGACAACTAAAGCCGAAAGTTTATATATGGAAGGACAATACATCTTGGTAAAGTTTAAAAGTACCAAAAACACGTATAAGTATTACTACGGCCTGATTACGAAAATATCCGAGTGTGAAGTTATTTTCGCGAAATTCATGAGACATAAAAAAGGTGGGTTTTACTGAAACACAGTACCCGATACAAGTATTGTATTCGAAAATGACATACTTAGTGCAAATTTTACCCAACCCCTATAAAAACCGGCGTGGAATTTTATATTTTGATGTCAAATTTAAATATAATTTGGAATAATACTTTTAGTTTTATTTTCAATACACTTTGGCTGAAACTATGATAGTATAAGTATTATAAATATGTGACAACTAGTACTTTAAACATTAACATTATATACTTTACAATTTTTACAACTTTAGCGCATGGTATTTACAGAACACTCCATGCGACTTACTGACTTCCATTTAATCAATGTTTTTATAGCCGTACATTTTATCTTCATTTTTAAACAAGTGGCAGCCCTGATAATAAATTTCATTTGTATGAGAATTTCAATGGAGTCCATGCCATCTTTACCTATCAGCCTGTATTGCTCGTATATATATATTTTTTATTTAAAGTACCAATATATCTAAACAGAGAGTGTAAAACGGTATCTTTACCAATTTCAGTTATAAAGGCTTCATTTTATCGAGATATACGGTATAGGTAAAGTAGCCATTTTTGCGGCATCTTTATCTGTGTTATGTTTTTGGTGCTGCTGAATATTGGTGATTTGCCATTATTATATAGATAATATGATACATCCCTTCAAGTCAGATATTAGATTAAGAACTAGACTATTATAATAAATATAAAAAAAGTTAAAATTCGTTTTCCTGTTCACACAAACTATGATCAGATTTGTCCGAAATGAGTTGATTTCGCGCACGGGGCCTTAACCCTAGAACCCTACCCATATTTTACAACGACTTTTCCTACCCAGGGTGACCGAGTACCCTGTTATGCAATGAGACATATTTTCAATAATTATAATAAAAAAACAGTTTTTTTGTAAATAAACTTATTTATTGGTTCTTTTAGAAATCAACTTAAAAAGCAAATAGTAAAAGTGAACGGTTTAAACACATTTAAAACAAACTTTTATCTGATGCTCGCCACAGACAGGCGTTTTACACTTATTGCAAATGGTGTTACTTTTTCTGTCTTTTGAATAGGGGCAGAACCTACAACGTCCTTGTTTAACGGCACTAGGAGCTGGTCTATCAGACTCATTTGGCGTTTTGAGTATGCCGTTTATCATTTAGCGGATATTGTGGCTCAAAGTACACCAATTTTTCTTTCTTTTAAATAAAGTGTTATAAGCTGTAAGAATAAAATTTTCAGATATGTCCGTCTATTGGGTATATTTTCCTTATTTATTGAAGAACTAAACTTCAAGAATATCATAGAGTTGATAACGACTGTATTCAATAACCCGTAAAATATGCATAAAGGCCAGCGATGAGTCTTACGTGACACTAAATAGAAATCTCACAGTTGGTCAAATGTATCATCATCTCCTCCTTTTGTTTTGTTATAAAAATCGATAATTTCTGCCAAAGAAACAGTTTTATCTTTATTGGGAAGAATGTGCATTGTTGATAGTAAATTTACAACCTTTTTCTGGCTACCTTTAGGTGTGCAGTAAGCTAGTAATGTAAGAGGTCCACTGTAAGCAAACTTGGCGGAATTTTTCACAAAAGGACGTTGGTTTTCATTTCTGCAGGTATCTCTTTTTTGTCTTAGAGTTCCAACTAATGTTATGTTATTTTCAAGTAATGCAGTAGCTGATGGAATCGAAGTAAACCAATTGTCACAAGTCAGGTTTCTATTGGTGCCGTGTATAGGAGATGTCAAAGACTGGAGATAGTAATCTACGACGGGTTGTGTCCTTGGAGTACTTTCTTTGCCTAAGTATACTTCTACGTTTATCATGTAAAATGTTTTTGAATCACACAATAGTAATATTTTTATACCATACCTATCTGGTTTGTTGGGAATATACATTCGGAAGGGACACCGGCCCCTTAATCCAAGCAGTTGTTCATCCATCGTGCAACAATCAGTGGGAGTGTAATAATCAAAACTTTTTTTTACTATATCATCAAATAATTCCCTTATCGGTGCCAATCGATCTGCTCTCCGGTGGTCTTCTCGTGTATTTTTATCATCGAAACGTAGTTTGTAAGGAACTCAAATCGATACAACAACATAGTAGCTCTAAAATATGGTATTCCAGTGTCTTTATCGAATAGCTCTTTTACTGTGACAGCATTCATTTTCAAAACTACAGACTTATAATATAAACCTATTGTTGGCGACGCGCCTATAAGAATATTTCAATTTATTAAGTTAACCGATTACGAATAGCTTCTAAAAAGCAAATTATCAAGTAACAATATTCCGATAAGAAAATGCTTAGTTGAATCTTAAAGAAATATCGAATTAATGATATGAAGGTCTTGGGTTCGACTCCCAGGCCGGAGTCATTTATCGTTTTCTTAGTAATATCTCTTAATAAATTCATATAGGGAATTTTTAAGATATAAATTATGGTACCGGATTTGGTCCCCGGCTGAAATCATCTTTCCAATGATGTAAATTTGAAGGAATGTTGGAATAAAGTTAGAGATCGGATTTATTCCCCGGTCGAGATGATCACTTTGTGAGTAAATAGAATTAATGGAAATGAATAGCATAAGTGTTGTCTTATATGGGTTTGATATGTTTTGTATGAAAACAAATGCCTATTTGCTATGATTGATTTATGAAAACATTCACTTATATTGTTATCTGATAGGAGATATGATAACTGATAAGAATCTGATTAGAAATAGTTTCCTACAGTTTGAGAATTGTGTAAAAGCATTGATTCATCTTAGTATTGTTGATATTGGTATATATTAGACTTTCCATTTTTTCTGATAGTCGATAGCCGTGCAAAGTTAGTTGTTCAAATAGTGTGAGTTCATAGACGCACGCTAGCCACGTACTTAGGAGGCCAAATATGTAAAAATTTAAATATTTGTAATTTCAGCAATTTATGTAAAAATGACTTGTGAAATATTTCAGATTGATTGTACGTGTAAAAAAGGTGAATTCTGTGTTATTTTTATGTGAAAATTCCTGTGAATAAGTGAAATAATGATAGTTTTGTATAAGAAATTTAAAAGTGTTTTAATAGTGAAATGAATAGGAAAAATGTAAATTAAACTATTGTATTAGTTAAGATATGTATAATTTCAAGTGGAAAACATTGTTTTAACTTTCTATGTTAAATATTTAAGAAATTTCAACTTCGAACGTGTGAGTAAAATAGGCATATTTTGTTAAATAAATAAAAGGTTTTTTGTGATATGAAAATGTAATGTATATCGTAGTATAGATATTTTTTTTGCGCTATCTATACAAGTAAATTGTGTTAATGTATGTCTTATGCAAATAAAGTTATTGAGTAAACCGTGAGAGAGTGATAGTACAAATTGATGTAATTGAGTTGCGCAAGCGCACAAATGGCGCGGCTCACTTTCGCGTATAGCTCTGGGGTAGCTCAGTAAACGGGTTTTCTTGCAATTCGTTAAGGATCTCCTAGGTGTGTGTTGTTTGCAGTTAGCAGTGGCTGTAAATGACCGCCGGTACGACATACTCCGCCGAACGTTGAGTCCCGTGATTCCGTGAGGCGTCGAGGTCACCGGCCCCTAGGTGATTCTTGGGCACTTTATGCGCTCCGAGCATCCTGTGCCTAGTCGCGTCGTAAAGTGCCACCGTTGCACTTCCCCCCAACCCTTTTGGTGTCAAAAGGGGTAGGCAGTGCCCAGTTAGTGATTACGCCAAATACGAATATACTCCGCCTTCCGCGTGCTTCGTGCCGAATCGGTTGGCAGTTATTAGACAGGGCCAATTTAGAATACCTGACTGACTTTAGGTAGGTTTCAATATGTCCGATAAGGACAAAGGGGAGCCTCCACCTAAACCCAAACCCAGAAGACCACCCGACCGTCCTGGTGTATTAGATCGACCAATCGCGTACCGCGACATGTTCAACCCTGAAAGGACTAGAGTAGTGTCCTCCTACTCTCAGATCCCAACAAGGAAGCCCTCCTCCCCGGGAAAGGAGCCCGCACCGAGGACCGCGCTCTCGCCCATCGTACCTGGAGGTACGACTGGGCGGGAACCGTTCCCCCAACCCCAGCGGGCAAAGAAGACCCAGAGGAGGCATACGCCTCCAGAAACAGCAGCATCCCTCCAGGAGAAGAGGCGATGCTACAGCACCAGCTCCTCGTATTCTTCATCCGAGGGAGAACCAGATCACCAGGTGTACCGAAAGAGCCGATTAGAAGATCACCTCCTAAATCGCCATCGCCGACCAAAACCACTCCCCCCAGAACACCGGAACACACCAGCATGGATGCTCGCTGAGCTGGAGCAGGGAGGAGAAGGGTCATACGGATGGAGTGCAACCACCTATGCAACCCTGGCACCTAGTACATCAGCCGGACATTCACCATCCGCCGCCTACCACCAACCCTTCAGGCCGGCCATCGGACGATGGTCAAGAGGCCTTCCACCAGCTATGCCCAACTGGTAGCTGCCCCGGCAGTACCAAGGACAAAGATCGCCGAAACACCCAAACCGCCGGAAGAATCGGCGAAAAGGTACCCGCCAATAGTTGCAGAGTGCTTGCCGGACTGGACGAAGCACTTCGAGGCACTTAATAAGAAAGTTGGGCCACCCACCGAATGCTCGTCCGTTCGGC